GACCAACGTGTTTTTGAACCCACATTTTTACACTTGAAACTTCACAATAAAAAAGTGTAAATGTAACATTCACATTGTTATATATCCGGTTTCATACGATAATAGTAATTGAATAAATAAAAAGAGAATCACGCATTTAATTAAATGGTACTTTAAATAAATAATTTTAGAAATAAATAAATGTGGGCATAAAAATAGTTTATTTATAAAAAAAATAATTTAAGACATTTATTTAAGATTCTACTTTTACCATATTTGTAATTTTAATATGATCTATTTATTTTTAATCATTTTATATTCAATGCATTTATAAATAAGTATATTTAATTTTTATTTAAAAAATTAATTTTTTAAGGCAATATTTAAAAAAACGGTTACTCCTCATAATCATATGTGATTTACACTTCATTGATTTTTTTTCAAATTTTATTTTTCTTAATCACATATGATTTAAAGCGTGAAAAACAATAATTCAAATTAAACAATGAAAAAGAAAAATAATGAAAACAAAATCACATGCAATGCACAACATGACACATTTAACATGTATAAAATCACATGTACTTCAAAATGTAGTTCATAATTTACAAATATCACATATAATGATGATGTAGATAATTTACAGTTTTTTTTTCTTTAAATCTATTATGATGAATATCACATATGATATTTTGACGAAAACTAACGATTTTTTTTGGAGGAAAAAAAATGTTGATTAATTGTTGATATCATATCTGGTTTTTGACCGATTTTATAAGGAAAATCTTAAATAAATTATTTTAATAAAAAGTAAATGTTTTAAATGATAAATTAAATCACGTTCATTCAAATGTTATAAAAAAACAAAAATTTAATTGATGAAAATTTAATCACATTTAAATAAGGAAATTATAAAAATCATAAACAAATATTTTAATTAAGTCATTAAATAACCATTAAAAAATAAAAATTTCCATATGTTTTTGGATGATTTTTATGAATGTTTTATTTAAGATATGATTCAAATAAATAATTGGTCATAACTACTCTCTTATTTCTCTCTCTCTATATATATAGAGAGAGAGAGGGGGTGTTATTATACAACCCATTATATTTGTACAACCAATACAATCAATCTCAACCGTTTATTTAATTTGATGAATATATAATTTCATAAAAGTTTTGATTGTATTCTAATATAAAATATTGATCATAATTAATGAATCATATTCATCTTACATAAATATTTAAATCATAATAAATGAACTCTCATCATTTTCATAAATATTTTAATTTATTGAGTTTCATTGATTGGACGAATGTAATAGGTTGCATTTGAAACACACACACACACTCTCTCTCTCACTCTCTCTCTCTCTCTCTCTCTATATATATATATATATATTATCTTTTTTTTAAATGGATAATTTATTTATGACTAAACGACATGTTACAGTCGAGAAAATGACTTGTGTCTCATCACAAACGTGCACAAAATAATTTGCTATTCAAGTTTCAGTACGTGTCTATCGTCTTATACTACAACGTGGATAAAGTATGATGACACGTCTCTATCAGTATTCGTGCTTTTATATATTCTATGTTGATCATGTTATAATTAAACAATAAAAAAATGTATTATTACAACTACTGGTGCTAAATAAGAACAAAAGTGTTTGTTCATGGGCTTTTGTATCATTTCGAGTATCAAAAAATTACCAACATGTTGTCAATTATGTAAAATTGTAACGTATATGCGTTGTTTTGACACCTGTCAATCATACCATTTAGTAACAGATATCATGTTTGACCATACTTATTCTTTATTAACTGTTACTTATATCAACTAATGTCAAAAAAAGCAAACCATCTTATGTTTGCTAAACAGTGTCTAAATATAAAAATGAATTTATATTAATTTTATAATTGTAAAGGAAAAAAGCACGATTAGGGGGGTGTTTGGGATTGCTTATTTTATGTGTTTTTTAACTTATTTCAGTCTGGCACTGTTGATAAGTTAAATGCTAGTGTTTGGATGAGGAAAAATAAAACTGTTTATACCGGTGCCAAACCGGTAATAAACAGTTTTTGATAAGTTAATCCTTCATGACTTATGAAAAACTGCTTATTGCCAGTTTACTATTTTAATCATGTTTTATTAATGTTTGTTAATTATTAATCTTATTGATATAAATTTTTGTCAAAAATATTATTATAAATGATGAAAAATGAATTTTTATATGTTAAAAAATCAAATAAGTTAATAATCCAAAATATTATTATATGGAAGACTGTCTTTTTTGGTCATTTTACATATATAAGCAAAATTTGTCAAACACTAAAAAACAACTTATCAGCTTATTGCTTTTTGGTACCGCTATAAGTTAATCCATACACTTTTTACAAAACTCTGATTTAATACCACATAAGTTAATAAGCACTTTTACAAAAAAACATAAGTTATTTTAAATAAGCAATCCCAAACACCCCCTAAAATGAAAACAACTTCCATTTGAGCATCTCTAACAATTTATTCGAAATACAAACAAGATATTTAATTTCAATAATTTATTAATTTTTAATATTTTAAGATTAATTATATTGTTAAAATATTTAATTAATTAATACTCCAACAAATTTTTTTATAAAATTATAACATTATATTCTCTCTAGAAAATAATTAATACACATTTTTTTTGTTAAAAATTTAATTTTGGAGATTTTTTTCTATATCTATACTATATTATAAAGTATTCGATAAAACTCTTAAAAACAATTTTGTATGCATGAAGTACTGTGTATAACTAACTGTAGATAAATTGTGCAAGTAAATTGTGCGTAAATACAACTTATTAAAGTTTTTTTTTGAATTTGTATAACTAACTGTAGATAAACATAATCAAATACATGATAAACATTCATCTTAAATATAAAAAATCTAAAATATAATTAAGATAATTATTGAATTATAACAAAATCATTATGTTTATAAAAAAATTATTGTTAAGTCAAAAAATAAATTACTTAATTTTGACCTATATTAAAGTATAATAAAAATTTGAATTAAAGAAATTGAAAAAAAATAAAAATTTTAAATAGTAAATTTGATATTAATATCGATATACTTTTTCATTGGACGAGTACCCTTCTATTCCTCTAACTATGGATATATTTTTTTCTACCTCTCATAATTTTTTCGTTTTTGAAAATTGTCTAGCATCAGTTATATTTATTAAAACTAGAAGGATACTTATGCAATGCATCAAGATACATTTTGATTTTAATGTTTTGTTTTATTCTGTCTCCGTCAAGGTTATAATATGATTTTATGTGGTACTGAATGTTTTAATTTTTTTAAGTAAAATATAAAATTGAAGGTATCATAAATTTTGAAAAAAAAAATGTATCAATTTAGTATCAAATTAAATATTTAAAAGTTCTTTTTTTGATATAATTTCTTTAATTAATACTTTATTATAATTTAATTTATATTTAATAATGAAGTCATTTATTTTTGATTTAATAATCTGATTTTTTTAAGATAATAATTAATAGTTTGTTATAATTCAATTATTATCCTAAATATATTTTATATTTTTATATTTAAAAATGAGATTCTATCCAGTATTTGATTATGTTTATCTGCAGTTAGTTACACGAATTCAAAAATGAAGCTTAATAAGTTGTATATACGTATAATTTACTTGTAATCATGAATTTTAAATAATATGCATCAATAAACAACACTTCGTGCATAAAAATGGTTTTTATGAGTTTTTATCATATGCTCTATAATATGGTATAAATATTTAATACCTCAACAATCTTTTTTTAACATTTTATATTCTCTCTCATATTTATCCCTGGTTCAAAATAAGAAAAAACAATTAATATACTTTTTCTTCCTTTTCAAATATGGAAAAATAACTATTCTATCTCATCTTTTCTCATTATTATTATTATTTTATGGAAGATGACTGAAGTTTACTAATTATGATTAATATTTTATATTAAGAAATAATTAAAACTTTTATGAAATCACATATTTATCAAATTTAATTGACGATTGAGATTAAATTATATTGGTTGTACAAATGTAAAAGGTTGCATAATAATTCATCTCTCTCTATGTTATTTTATATACCCACACAATTCATTTATATAAAATATAAATATATTTGTAATACATATATAATTTATACAATATATTATATAAATATAATACAATAATAGTATAATAATTTAATATATATAAATATATAACACATATATAATACTTAATATATTTTTATAACATATATACTAATCGTACAAGGGTAGTTTCGTAATTTATCAATCTAGTCTAATATTTTTCCTTTTCTCTTATATATATTAACAGGACAAAAATGCATTCAGTCATCTGATACATACAAAATATAAAGCTCCTCTTTTTCACAATTCCTGAAGCAACTAGACTTCTTTTATGCGCACGTACACCCGAGTTTGTTTAATCTTCTCTCTTTTCCTCAACCTACTTTCATCTATTTACCGGTGCATCACATCTGTCTTGAAAAACCAGTACTCATTTCAATCAAAACCATAAAAATTTCACTCATCTGTTTGCTACTACTCTTGCAGATCTGAAGCTTTCAGTACTGTTATAATAGCAACCTTATACATCAAGCGTGAGCTAATTTACGGGGTATTACAAAACTCGAGTTCTCAGTTTCTTTTCAATTAGTTTTCGTACAGATTCAAACTCAGTTCAGTGTTTTATTCGTTTACAGTTGAGTTGAATCAAGTTATGAATCAAACATAAAATCTTTACAGTTCGTTTTTAAATTATACAGTTTCAGTATTAAGATTTTATGAAAAATCAAGATGGCTTCTTGACAAACACAACTATTTTGTCCTCGATCGTCCATCAGAAAAGTTTTAATTTGGTCTAATTTAACAATAAATTCGAGTCTATTTTATTAAAATATAATAATTAAAAATAATATATTTTTATTTAATAAAAGCATTTACTTTTATTTTTAAAAATGGACGGGTCGGGTTTAAGGGAATCACCCGTACCCGATACCAGGCCCCATACAGTCGCCCTCACGATCGATCTTAACGAAACCCCACCTCCTTCTCCTCGAGAAGAAGACTGTGAGTGTAATGGCGATGGGTACACGGCGGATCACCGGTGTGGTTTGTGTGGTGAGACGGAAGGGGAGATGGTGGTTTGCGGTGAGTGTGTAAAACAGTTTCATGTAGTGTGTTTGGGGGGGAAGGAAGAGGAAAGGGAGTGGAAGTGTGTTAAGTGTTCGATGGAATGCGGTAGAGGGAAGAAGTTGCGTGGAACTGTACCTACTACCGGTAGCGGTGGTTTAGGGCTTTTGGACATGAACGCTTCTCCGCCGCGTGAGGCTGACGGTGATGAGGTGGGGTTTTCTGCAATTTCGGAGCTAGCGTTACCAGCCAGTGTCCCCAAGTGAGCTTCTCAGTCCTTGACCATTTTGATCGAATACATACATACATACATACATACATATATCTATCATGATCGTCATTTCATCCTTTAAACTCTTCAATATGACGATACTTATGCGTATTTTTTCTTCTACATATGTTTCAAGTGTTTTCTTAACAATGTCTGCTTGTTTTTTTAGGTTTTCATAATTTCTCGGATTTCTGTGTGTGTGTTAATGATATATAATTTGTTAAAGATGGTAGGAAAGAAATATTCTGAAGAAATGGTGATCCAAGAAATGGAAGGGTACTATTTTGGACATGTTAAGAGAAGTTCAAATTTTGTGCTATTTACCTGAATATGGAACTTCAGCAATTGCATATCTAAACATGTACTTGATCATAGATGTTTCTTATGTAATTTAGGAGAATTGGGCAAGGAAGAAAATTGATTATTGAAGATAGGGTCAGATTCAGGGAAACCGCAAAAAAGTGAGAAACTGAGTAACACCCTGGTAACTATTATCCGGACGGTATGCACATATGAATACAAGTAATTTGTGAGCAATTTCTCTGGTATGCACGTGTGCATAACATGCACACATGCATAAAAACCAAGAGACAACTTCATTTACTTGTATAAACATGTGCATACCGTCTAGATGAATGGTTACTAGGGTGTTCATCAGTTTTTCATTTTTTGAGGGTTTTCCCCCGAACCTCCCTCTATCGGGATAAATACAAAATTAGTAGATTACCTAATTATTCTTAACTTCAATCTTTTGATTATCTGATTATCTACTTTCGGTTTTGATTTTGACTTCTCAAGTTGCAATAATCATTTTGACACCGACACACCGCACATCCAAACACCTTTAGATGTATACCTTTTATTAATTGTACTTTGAAAGATATTCCTAGAATTGAGAATCGAGAGTACCCTCAAATTTCAAAAACTTATAAATGTGCAAACTTGGACGAGGAAAACTTTTTTCTCTATAAATACATGCTAAGATCTAAAATTTCCTTTTGTGGTAGAAAACTAGAAATGGTATGGAACTTAATATTGAATCTTTATTTACTGTCTTTTGCAAATGTTTGTTGATAATAAATTAATAATACATTGTTTGTTTACAAAATTGAATTTTCATACCATGCGTTTTCATGCGTGGGTCATCTCCATGCGATATATCTTGTTTTGACCAAAAAATTGTGACTTGTTATATGCTTACATGCTGAGTGTTTATATCATTAGGTTTTGTGTTTCTCATTTTATGCTTACATGCTTGATCTATGCCCATCATTTAGTCGCTCCATATTTTGGTTGTTGATATACTTGTAACTTTTCATTTGGTTTTAAATTTAATCATCCTGTTCTTGTTTGGTTTTTTGTCGCACTTCTATCATAAATTACAAGCTTTTTTTATGCTAAAAAAGAGTATCATTTGGTACTGTTTGTTAATGGTTGCTGGTTTGACGATCTCCCGACATGAACTAGGCAATTTCAATGAGGAATAACGGAGAACACTAAAAAAGACGGGAAATTAAGTTGAAAACTGTCCAACACAATTAGATGGAGAAGAACTTTGATACATTAATTAGGTGTAAGTTAACATAAGTGAAAGAAGTTTCTTTTCCTATTGGATGGCTTGCCGTCAGCCCCTCACCAACACAATGAACATAGTTTTCCACAATCTGAACGAACGTTGAGATTAACATCATTGGCAACTTTAGGTCACAAAAAATGAAGAAGCCTTGTTACCAGATTTGGAGATCTATCAGAAAGAACTATTAAATGTTGAAGGGTTATGCATGTTGTAGTTTGGAAATTTCTTTATGATATCTTGTCACCCTTTAGATGAGGTGATCTTTTGTGGGATCATCAGGTTCCCGAAGTAGGTTGTAGACCAACTATAATTGTTACACTATATATAGATTACTTATGCATCCGGTTGTATGATACATATTCTCCTACAAACATTGAATACACAATATATCTACCCTTTCCCTCTTTTATGTTTCAAAGTTCCATCTTATTCCCATTACAATCCTAGTAAAGATCAATCATTGTCTTGTAGTTTAGAGATATATTACTAAATATATTCTTGTTAAATACAAATTCGACCATCGTTGATTATTAAGTCCCTTCTCAAAGTTTTTTTTGTTAACGAGCTATGCAACATCACAGAATTGAAAGAGCAAGTCAAAGATGCCTATAATCGTCCATAAAGGAAATTTTTTGTTGCAAAGGCGAATGAATATGTTGCATAAGACATAGAGATACTTTCCTAGTTAATTAGTCTAGGGCATCCAATTAAGTTGTCGCTCCATCATTGTATTTCCTATAATCACAATGGATAAGAGGTGCAAACTAGGGCTGCAAACGAGCCAATCCAAGCTCAAGCTTAAATGTGTTATATTAAGCTCAGCATGTTTCCTTGATACAAGCTTGAGCTTCGCTCAAGAGCTCTTAAATAGCCCGAAAATGTTATTCAGAGTGTTAGATAAAACAAGCTCGAATTGAGAGATTGAATAGTTCGCAAATATCTATTATAACTATATTTGATAAAGCACGATCAATTCAAGCTTGACCAAAAAATATACAGCAAAGTGTGCTCACATATTAATACATACAATTAAAAACTTGATAAGAATTCGAGTCGAGTTCTTATAAACTTGAACTCGACTCATTAAATGTTTTGAGCTCATATTTTAAGATGTTCGAATCAATTGAGCTCAACTTAACCTACTCCAACTAGTTTTAGATATGTTAAACTAAATGCATACATTTTCATGCTCTTGGTATCTTTAGCACAAATAACATATCCCAGTTTATGTTTATTTATTTTATTACCATTTCCCAGGTAACATCAGGTTTTGAATCATTGACTTTCTAATACTTAAATGTCAATGCAGCGCATCTCGTTCAAGAGAAAAAACACGTTCTTTTCACAAATAAATTAACTACATGTTTCATTGGATTAGACTTGCATGAGAATATTCTATGTTAAATTTCCTGCCTTCCTTGGTTTGTCGTAGTGGATTAATTTGTCTGTATAGATTAGGGAGATTTTTGTTTGGGAGGATTTTTTCATTGATGGAAGGAGCATGTTTTCTAATTGGGAGGGGCAGGTTTGGAAAAAAAAAACTTGGCTTTCTGCATAAAGCTTCCCCCTAGAAGCTTACTGAATAAGCCACTTTTTATACCCTTAAGCCACTACCAAACAGTCATGTATGACTGACCAAATAAGCGATGATTCCCGTTAAGCTTGTGAAGCTGCTAATAAACAGACCCTAACCATGTCTTTTGTGTTCCAGTATGCAGGATGCGTGTGATAATCTCTTTGTTGGATTTTCTTTAACTTCTCTGAATGGATTTTCATCTACAAATGCTTCTTCCCAGGCAATGCGGATTGCACGCTTGAATCTTGATATTGCAACACAAAATGCCAATTTAGTGTATTTGCAAGCACTTAAAAATTACATATCTGAAAGGAGAGGTGTACTAGGAGATGGTTGGGTTGTTAAATTTGAATTTTCTGAGAGTATCTGCAAGAGAGCTCCAATTTACTATGCCCCAGATGGAAGTAGATTCAATTCGATGCCAGAAGTTGCTCATCATTTCGGTTTGCTATTGCCGCCAAATTCCTTTGAAACAAATGACAAAGGTGGTAGCTTTGCATTACTGCAGAACGGATCACATGCTACTAAAAGTTTGGATAGTGCTTCAAGGTCGCTAAATGCCAATATCATTAGGGAGCGTAAGAGCATGTCGCAAAGCGGGGTCAGTAATGGCGGAACTGCAATTGAAGTAGACCCTATGGGGAATAGTAACCGTGGGTCAGAGTTGTTTCTTGTAAGTTTTTCAATCCGCTCTTCTGCTTGCATTTATTGCATCAACCTTTGCCCTGCTTTTTCCCCGCCCCCACGATTTGTAAGATCCCACATTGGTTGGGATGGGGAATGAAAGTTGCCTTATAAGGGACTGGATACCTCCTCTATTAGACGCGTTTTAAAACCGTGAGTCCAGATTTGTTGACAAAGCGGACAATATCTGTTACGATTGGCCTGGGATGTTACAACAGTGACCATCATTTTGTTTTGATTGTATTGTTTCATTTGTTGGATTCATCCATCTTTATCTTTTACCCTGACATCTTATGTTTGTCCCAGGATGGTTTTCCAGTTCAATTTCAAGACTTCTTTGTGACATCACTGGGAAAAATCGACCCACGTGTTTCATTCCACACGGCTTCCCAAATCTGGCCAATAGGTTACAAATCTATTTGGCACGATAATGCAACAGGGTCCATATTCGTATGCAATGTTTTAGATGCTGGTGATTGTGGCCCAATATTCAGAGTAAATAGGCATCCATGCACAAAGCATTCAATCCCAAATGCTTCAACGGTGCTCTGCAGGCCAAAATCTAGGCCGTCCGATGGAAAAGACACGGCAGGTAGTCATGATTCTGCTGTTAATAGGGCATTTCAGGCATTTCTTGATGAACGAATAAATACCCGCGATAAACTAGCTGAACAACAAAAGCCACCGAGCCTAGATGATGGTAGTTACTCATGCCTTGATAAGGTAGCAAGCTGTTTGACTACAGAATCCGCCTTTCCTCTTCAATGTATACCTTCTAATAACGTCATCCGAGGTGACATTATTGGTGAATTTATGGTAGAAGGGAGATCCCCTTCATCTGCTTGGCAAATGGTCTTAGAAACTCTACTTTCTGCATGCCATCAAGCATTTAAAGATTTGAGTGTCTTAACTTTTTGCTGCAACCACACTGTCGATAGGCAACACATTGATGATTCATATAATATTAATTCATTAGACAAATTTGGTTATTTGAGGGGTCCTAAAATCGTGAACTTAATACGGACAGTAGAGCAGCTCGATGGTTGTTGTATGGTGCTGCGGAGATGGTTGCAACCAGACAGATTCGGTCTAGATGCCGAGTTTGTACAAGAACTCGTAGAACAGCTTCCGGGGGTTTCTGCCTGTTTGGGATATAAATCTTTGGTTGCAAGATGTCAAAACTCTCCCCATACTGTCGGAAGCGGATTCTTTACGGTTTTACGTAAATATAGTTCACAGCCGACTGTATCAGATAGTCTAGTAGAAAACCGTAAAAGACTCAGCCCACCAGGCAATATAATTGCCTCCAACCTTCCTCCTCGTTTAATTGGGGATATTCTCCAGGTATTGGACCTTTGCTTTAGTCATAGCTAGTGCGCTGAAGTTTCAATTCCAAAGTCTGATATTTTTATTTTTTATTCATCTGTTTAGGCCCACGAGTTCTACTTGCGGTTTCATAAAGTTTTGGGGCTAGAGGCACTTCCCTCTAGAGAAAAGCTGGAATACGAGTTACTGAATCCATGGGATGATGATTTGAAGCCACCGAACAGTCATGAAGGTGACAAAATAGAAGATCTTACTTCATATTCCACAATTGCCCCTGATATGAAATCCCGTTTTGGAGATTTTGTGGATGCAACAGAAGAATCTGAGGGAGATGGTTCTCGATCAGAAGTGGCTATCAAATGCACAGGTGTATCATTAGCGAACTTTCATATGGCACTCGTGAAGGTGCTAGTAGAAGACATGCTAGCAAAACTCACGATATGTGAGCAATCTGGTGCAGCGGAATCCAAGTCAAGAAAAGGGAGGAAGAAAAACATGGAGATCATGGTTTCTAGCAAGAAGATAAAGCTCAGTATGTTTCCTGTTAACGAAATTACTTGGCCAGAAATAGCGAGGAGGTGCATTTTGGCTGTGTTGTCCATGGATGGTAGTCTTGAAGCTTCGGATGTCACAAACCGTGAATTTAGTGAAGTGTTTCATTGTTTGAAAGGTGATGGCGGTCCACTTTGTGGTTCTCTTACTGGAATGGCTGCAATGGAGGCTGATGCAATGGTAAGCTTTTATAGGCATTCCTTTTATGATCTTGTTTATGATTATATTCTAATTCTGCATCTTTGCAAGCTCCTTATGTTTCATGTTTTTCCATTTTCATCTCTTATTTCCGTAAGAGGCCACCCTCAAGTCAGAATATTTCTCTTAGGGCCCGTTTGGTTTGTAGGATTTGATGGGATTCGTATTTAGAATCCATTCCAATCCCGCGTTAGGTCTAAAGTAAATTCCGGAATTGAAATCCTGGGATTCCGATGAAATCCCCCAAACATTGGATTTGGAAATCCCTTGGGGTAGTTGGTATTTCATGAGATTTTATAGGATACCAACCGAACACTTAAATCTCATGGGGTAGTTGGTATTTCATGGAATTAATATTCCATTCCAATCCTGCGTTTGGTTTAAAGGAAAGTCCAGAATTGAAATTTGTGGGATTTCAATGAAATCCCACAAATATTGGATTTAGAAATCCCGTGGGGGTAGTTGGTATTTCATGGTACTTCATAGGACTTTCTTCTGTTAGTAATGGTGTAAAGTATGTTAAAGACATTTTTCCTGTAATAATCAATTAGTAAAAGGTACTTTAATTATTTTTATGATTATCTATAATTTGTTTCTATAAATTATCTATAAAGAATGGAATTCAATTCTATTCCAAATCCTACAAACGGAACACACCAAAGATTCCACATCTTTCCACGAAATCCAAGTCCCTCAAAAACATTCGGTAAAACCAAATACCCCCCTTAGGGTGTGTTTGGTACACTGGACAAGAATTGATGTTTCATGTTTGACAGGACTTTCATGTGGAACAGAGTGGAACAAGCATATATTTTACCAATAAAACCTAATTCTCTTCTAAAACATCAAATATGCCTCCCTCCTTACATTTTATTCATTCTTTAAATTTTATTTATTGTTTTTTATGCTCTTTAAACTTTCACTTTACTATCCTCAAAATATTATTACTATACGGTTTCTATATTTTTGGTTAATTTATGTAATTTGTTAAATATTATTAATAATAAAATAATATAGAAAATGTATAAAAAAAAATTGGAAACTACATAAACTATCTATTTTGGTGTCATTTTATAATGATATATTTTGTTATAAAAATATGTATTTTATTATAATTTAATAAATTATATAAATTAATCAAAATATATAAAAGATGTAAACAATTCATTAGAGGTAAATTGGTCATTTTATCTGTTCCTTCATGTCCATTTTTGTCTTATCAAATGCTAAACACATGGTTTGTCTTGTTCTGTTCTATCCTGCCTAGCTTGGATACTAAATGCACCCTTAATGTCATAACCGGAATTTTGTTATTTTTCTTCATTTTGTGTTTATATCGTTAACGCTTACCAATCAAGATCGAATTTATGTTATTTTCAGGTTCTAGCAGAGGCCTCCGAGAAAATATTTTCTTCTGTGAACAGTAAATTTGTCAACTTCATAATAGATAAAAACGATCTCAATATCCGCGACTCCGCCACAGAGACAAATAGAACAGATAACGGATGTCCTAAATGGATTGAGGTTCTCGAACCCGTAAGAAAGCTACCCACAAACGTGGGAGCAAAACTGAGAAAATGCGTTTATGAATCTTTAAAACAACAACCACCACCGTGGGCGGTAGAGATGTTGGTAAACTCGATAAGCAAAGACGTCTACAAGGGTAATGCATCCGGACCCACAAAGGTTCGTGTTTTTGAATCCACTTATCTTCAAAATTTGGCGTGATTTTCCGTTTATTCTAGAACTAACTTCCAAATGGAACTAAAACAGAAAATCGTTGTCTCGGTTCTTGAACATGTGAGAGAACTAAATCCTCTCACTAAGAAGAAAGCGAAGGAAAGTCGTGTTGTCAGGACTTTATATGACGTGATCATGAGACGGTGTCGTATGGTGCTACGCTCGGTTGCTGCTGAAGATGAAAACCGAGCTTTTTTCATTCTCATGGCAGAATCCCTTTTCAAGCGGAATGAATCTTGTGATGGTGGACATCCTGCACCAGTTTCCCGCCCGTTAGATTTTAGAACGATTGACCTCAGATTGGATGCCGGCTGCTATGGTGGTTCACATGAATCTTTCATTGAGGATGTTCGTGAGGTATGGCAGGGAAAAAGGATCCCGTTGGCACATTGATAGTAACCTACCCGACCCAACCCGTATCGAAAAATTACTTACTTTGACCGAACCTGTTTGACCCATACCGTCAGTCCCCATTTTGCAACCTACGGTTTAATTGCTTGGAAATCTAATATATATGATCTTTTGGCAGGTTTGGCGAAATTTACGAATAATATATAGGAACAAACCCAAATACATCGACTTTATTGAAACGTTATCTAAAAAGCTAGAAGAACTGTATGAACAAGAGGTTAGTTGATTTCTTGCCAAGAATTTTCGTTCTCAATCATCTGGGACTTTGGGGCTGTTTGGTTGGTTTTCTGTTAAGTCCTGTATAGATAAAGCTGTCTGTCATTGTGGATTAATCTGTCTGTATAGATTGGGAAGGTTTTTCATAGATGGAATGAACGTGTTTTTTTAATTGGGAGGGATAGGTTTGGAAAAACTCGCTTTCTGCGTAAAGCTCCCCCCTAGAAGCTTAATGAATAAGCCACTTTCTATATCATTAAGCCACTACCACACAGTCATGTATAGCTAACTGTATAAGATGTGAATCCCATTAAGCTCATTAAGCTGCTGACAAACAAGCTCCTTTGTCCAAATTGATATCTAAGCTAATACTGGTCATCTTTTTCAATCTCCAGGTACTTACACTGGTCCGCAAGACCGTCGATTACGGGAACGATTCCATCTCCGATGAAACAAAGAGAGAGCTAAACACGATGCTTGCAGACACAATCACGAGCACGCTTTCCGTTGCACCATGGGAGGACGGGATTTGCAAAGTATGCGGGAAGGATGAAAATGATCATATCTTGCTTTTGTGTGATAGATGTGATGCAGAGTACCATACATACTGTTTAGATCCTCCCCTCCAAAGGGTTCCAAAAGCAAGTTGGTATTGCCCATCTTGCATTTCGTTCATTACAAATCAAGCTATGTCGTCACAAGAAGAGGAGTCTGACACCCCGGTGTTATTCCGGGACCCCGATAAGAAGAAAACATGCAAAGAAATTGTTCGAAATGGTTTAGAGTCGCTGGCTGAGTTAGCTGATGCTATGGAGTCGATGGAGTATTGGGAACTAGGCCTCGAGGAGGTTAGTCTTTCGTGTCCTTTTCGGTTTGAAAGGAATCTGAAGGAATTAGAATGGCCAAGTCCGTTGACCAAATTCCGTTCCTGTGTTTGGTTTAACCTATGGAATGGAATTGAATTCTACACATTCAATCGTTTGTGGATTTGGTCATTCCATCACAAATGAGATGGAATTCAATTCTATTCCTACCTATATTCTAAAAAAAACTATACTACCCCCATAATGATATATATACATATACATATACATATACGGTTAGCTTCAGGGAATAACCGAAGAACACTTGGTAACCATTCATCTGGATTCTGGATGGTTTTCACATGTGCATACAAGTAATTTGTAAGCAATTTGTCCGTTATGCACACGTGCTTAAAAACCAATAAATAGCTTCGATTACTTAACGTTCCTCAATTTTTCATATTCTTGGGGTTTTCCCCTAAACCTCTCTCCGTCTCTCTCTCTCTCTCTATATATATACACACACACACGCCTTCATTTTACGAAAACGCAAGAACACCCTTTTACTATAGTCAATCACATGTGACACTAGAGACGTGGGCGACCTTTGTAGGCCAAGTCACCCACACACCACCAGGTCCCCTTATGTATATTATCACATTTGATAAGAGTGTTTTCGCGTTTTCTGAAATTGAAGGTGTTCTCGTTTAAACCTCTAGTCCTCCACCTATATATTATATATAATAAACTTTATTCTGTAATTGATTTATTTCTAGAAAACAAGAAAATCATAATTTTTTTAGTAAACGGTAATATCGTCTACATATTGTTTTACATTAGGTTTTAATTTTATTGTTATTCTAGTTAAAAAAATCAAAGAAAAAGTATCTAGTCATATTTCATCATCTCATTCCAATTCCTAACCTGCATTCCATTTCCCATCGAACAAACACTTGGTCAAACTTGATAACATTCCATTCCAGTTCCTTTCATATTTCAATTCCTTTTGACATGTTCTGTTCCTTTAGAAAACATTTTGCGAACCAAACATCCCCTCAGTTTATATAAACGTAATCTTACCAAAGGGCCTTTGGCCTAGCGATATGTGAGTCTTTGGGAGGTCAGGGTTTCAAAACTCACCAAAGGTGAGGAGGGTGTATGAGTTTATTTGTTCTATTTGCCGTATATAAATATTATATACTAAAAAAAACGTATTCTTGTTCGAACCATAAAGAGATGATCATGTTCATATAATCGAAAATAGAACTCAGAAAATCTTAATTCGATTAGGAATATCCTCATTAGTTCTTCGAAATTCTGGGTTGCAACTTATTTTATGTGAAGAATTAACCGTAAATTTTTCACAATTTTTCGCAGCGGGTTTTCCTTCTCAAGTTCTTGTGTGACGAGGCCTTGAGTTCGACCATTATTCGGGACCACATAAACGCAGTTGATTGCAATATTCGAAGAGACTTCCTGGGCCGAGACTCAGAAGGTAGACTTTACTACATTCTTGGCAAACCCGAAAGGGTAGTTGTGTCTGGTCCACACAGTATAGGTGAAGTGTGTATAGCCTCCGAGAGTTCTTCCTCTAGAGAACTCGATGCATCCGAGCGTTGTTCATGGATTTGCTATGAATCGGATGCTGAAATCGAGGCTCTGGTTGAATGGTTGAGAGATGACGATGCAAGAGAGAAAGAACTGAAAGAAACCATCATACAGTGGCAACGAAACAAATCGAACAACCAAAATGGTGAAGCCGGGAAAGTTAACCGCTTGATGTCATCGATTCACGACACGAATGCAAGGGCAGCACTGGAAAAGAAATTTGGTTCTTTCTCGGAAGGAAGAGTCTTCGACGATGGGAAAATATACCGTTGTGATTGCCTGGAATTAGTTGGGTCTACTAGAGCTCATTGTTTTTCATGCCACTCGACGTTTTTCAGTAACGAGATTCACAACGATGGAAAATGTGGGATTCATAAGGAAGGAGACGCTCTCGTGAAGCAACCGACCTTGACTAATGATCAGAATGAACCCGATGTCACATTTGTCTTTGAGGAGATTAGAGCCAATTTCTGTGCCGAAAGCTTGCGTAAAGAAGTCATCAAAGATGTAGGGATCGTCGGGTCAAACAGGAATCCAGTATTGGTCAAACATCGAGTCGAAGCTGAGAACATCGAGTCTTCGACACCGTTAGTTGGCAGAGTTTCTAAAATTCTTCGATATCTGAAAGCCACTTTACTCGATATTGAAGCCGCTCTTCCAAACGAAGCATTTAGACCTTCGAGAAGAGACTCTCATAGATTACGAGCTTGGCACGTGTTTGTGAAATCGGCACAGTCGATTCATGAGGTGAGTTTGTATTTTTCATATCTCTTATCATATATCGTCATTATATCCTAGGTTCAAACGACAACAATAACCAACTAAAATAACACAAAAATAACCAAATCACGTACAATATCACATGTGATTTTACACATAATTGTAAAATCACATGTGATTCAACCGTTCTCGTGTTCGTTTATTTGGTTACTGCTCTAACTCTCTCTCTCTATATATATATACACACACACACACACATAGGGGCCTTCTTTTGAGAACCCATGAAATTGTGATAACCTTTACAACTAGTGTTTCATGTGCTATTTCATATAATTCTTTTCCTTCCAAGAGTAGGATTTAGAATATTGATTAACATATATTTGTTTCATATGTGAATCTTTTTATCCTGTTTGTGAAACAAAAGTTATACATAAAAAGTTTCACATTGTGAAACAAATATATACATAAGAAGTTTCACATAAAAAGTTCATCAATACGTTAAATGCTAGCCTTTGATGGGAAAAAATCATGTAAAACAATGCCTTAAGGTAAAAGTTCTCACAGTTATTGCAACATATGGAGTTCTCATTTTATTACACCCCTATATATAGAGGAGCAGGTTTAACTGCAAACTTAAGTTTCATTGTGAGCCCGAGGGTAAACTAGAGCGTGCCATGTGTCCTTGACATTCATGGGATATTCGTCATGAATGATGTAAAAAATTCATGTTCATTATTCACGATGAATAGGAACAAATGGGGACACATGTCACTCTCCCCTTTGTCCCCTTGTTCACAACAGAAAACAGGTTTGTAACTGAACTTTTCTATATATATATATATATATATATAAACTTGAGATCGTGAGAGACCAGCCTGTTTTCGTGAGACCACATTTTTACACTTGAAAATTCACAACAAAACATTATGAAGGGTAACCTTCACAATTTTTTTGCTGTGAAGGTTCGAATCTTTTTACCTTCACAATATTTTTTTTGCTATAAAGTTTCAAGTGTAAAATGTGGTATCATGGGTCTCACGTGCACCAACGCTCTATATATATATAGGGAGGTTCTGGGAAAAGCTCCCACCCAAAAAAAATGGAAAACTGAAAATCACTTAGGTAACCATTCATCTCAACAGTATGCAAATATACAAGTAATTGAAGATGTTTCTTGGTTTTTATGCATGTGTGTATACCGGACAAATTGCCTACAAATTACTTGTATGCATATGTACGTACCGTTCAGATGAACAGTTAAGTTATCAGAGTGTCGCTTAGTTTTTTATTTTTTGCAGTTTTCCCCTGAACCCGACCCTATATATATATATAGGCTAAGGATCCTGTGAGGAGAGTTTAGATGAGAAACATAAGAAGGGATCTCGACCGATTAATCACTTTTAATCTCAAACCCACCCATGAGTCGTGCTTGATATGGGGGATCGATCCGGTGCATCTCATCCAAATGTGCATCCAAAGGGGAGATCCCTTCTTGCGCTTCTCACCTTAACTCTCCTTCTCACTGGAACCCAACCCTATATATACATACATACATATACTCATGTCAAACTGATAAGAACAAATACTCACTTCATCAATTGATCTTCAACATATTCAAACTGATAACAACATAATATGCATACAAATATATACAGATTCACGCGTCTATATCAAACCGATAAGAAAAAAAATACGAATTGTAATCTTCATGTCGTGAATTTTGAACCTCGATTACCTTTCAGATGGTACAAGCAACGATCATCCTAGAAGACATGATTAGAACCGAGCACCTGAGAAATGAATGGTGGTATTGGTCCTCACCTTCCGCTGCTATTAAAATCTCCACTGTTTCATCTCTCGCTCTACGAATCTACGCTCTCGATGCTGCCATCTTTTACGAGAACCCACCTACGCCTCCTGCGGACCTGACAGAACCCGTAACGCCATCAGATTCCAATTCAAAGAAAGAAGCTTCTAGAAAGTCAAACCCAAAATCAAGCAGCTCGACAATGGTGGCAATGTCGAACAATTCAGAACCTTCCAAGACTTCGAAATCCGGAAAGAGGCCAAAGAAGAAGAAACTTAGATTCTCCGCGGATTAAAAACCGATTTATGGTTCTCTGTTTTAGATTTGTAAATGGTAATTGTGAAACTTAGACTGGACGCGAACTGATGAGTGCCGAAGAGGGGTGAACCCTGAATTGGTGACTCGGGCCTTTTGTTGCTAAACCGACTTGATGGTTAGACTCATTGGCTGCACCCTGAGTCAGTGACTCGGGCCCTTTTAGGGCTGAACTGACTTGATGGTTAGACTCATTGGCTGCACCCCGAGTGTCGGAAGAAAAAGGGGGTGTGGGTGCAACATATACAAATGTTATGTTGTACATTTATTTGGTAGAATCAAAGTTTGAACCTTGAAACATATGTGGTTCCTGCCTGCAATAAGCTCATAAAAAGCTTGTATCCATAAGGGCTGGCGTGTTTGAAATTTCCAACAGGTATGTTATATTTTCTCTGTTTTTTTTATCTATTTTAAAGGAGAGTTTAGCATAGCTGTTGGAGCAAACTTTTCTCAAACCTTTGAAATTTCTAAAATAGCATAGCTGTTGGAGCAAACTTTTTTCAAATATCTGAAATTTCTAAAATAACATAGTTTTTAAAAATATTAAGTTTTTATAGTTTTATATTGAGTAAGAGATAATGTTGTTTGCCAACGCTGACTGAGGCGTTGACTTGGTAAAAACAGAGATATACTTACGTAGTCAGAACTTCTTGCTCAATCTGAACACCTTCCGACACATGCAACATAGCGAATCGGATGGCTACTCTATAGAATTTGTCCTTCAGTTTCATTGGAACCTTCTTATAACACCACCCTCGTAACAGTTCATTTGAGTGTTGCTTTTATGTGATGTGTTAAGCCTTCCTCTCCATTTCTTTGAATTATGGAATCTAGATACTTGAACTATCGTTTTTAATTTTTTTTATTAACCTGGATATCCAACCCGTTATGCGAGCCGATTAATCCTAAGGCGACCACCTGCTTTGCAGGTAGCTCGGAGTCATCGCATTTGAACCTCCGTAGCCATAAGAGAATTTTTATCTGATTTCAATAGTTATGATAAATGTGTAGGGTTTCTTCTATATGAAACCGAACAAAATGAAGCCAGTAAAGAGATTGTTTCTCGGTCAGCCACAAAAGATACGAAACCAGTAAACCATGGAGGAAATAGCGGTTCGACCATCTAACCCCACCATATGGTTCACAAGTCCTTCCACACAATCTGCTATCCTAGCATTACAACAAAATGAGTTTTATAGGACACCTAAGATATCTAAGCGTCTTAATAAAAATACTTTATAGAACTTAAATTTATAATACCAAACCAAAATACGTCATCTCTAAAGTGTTATAATAAGTTTATAGAACGTTTTTATGTGTTTTAACAAGCTTTTTACGATGCTTTTGAAATAAAGTGTTTGTAATAGCTACTTATACGATTCCATTTGAAAAAGTGTCCCATAAAAAATAGGTTTATATCAGAAGTGTCATGTAAGCTAATGGATAAGACGTTTTATAGTTTGATCCTATAAACTTATGTTCTATAAAATACTATATTAGAACGTTTAGACATTCTAGGCATCCTATAAAACCAATTTTTGTAATGTGGTATTGCGCCTACACAAACTCGTATACAAAATCATGTCTTCCAAAATACCTAAAATTACCATGTCCGATCTCAGTTACTCATGTTACATCTTCCTCAACCTACCCCTCCTCACATACCGACAACTATCTCCTACAAACTTGTCCAAATCAACATAGTCTAACAGGCATTACTCCGAATCCTCCTTCAAAGATCTCATTCGGTATCATGTCTAACATAATCCAACCACACATCCACCTGAAAATCCTCGTTTCAGCCACCTTTATCGTTCAAGTCTGATGTGGAGAACTTGTTCAATTTTAGCGGGATTTTCTTGTCGCATAACACTCCAAGAAAAATCCTTGCTATGATAAGCATAAACACAACCAACATTTGTTTGTTTAAGGCCGTAAGGGTCTCCTTGTTACCAGCTTAATGAGCTTCACAGGACTTGAAGCTTATTCATTCAGCTATGCATGATTGTTTGGTGATGCCTTAATGATACAAAAAAATGGCTTATTAGGTAAGCTTTTAAGAGGCATCTTTATGAGAAAAAGGCTTATTCTGTAAGCTTTTAAGAGGCAACTATATACAAAAGCCAAGTTTTTTTTTCCAAATTTGTCCCTCCCTCGTTAAAGAACATGCTTCTTCCATCTATGGAAAAAACCTCCCTATTTATACAGTTAGCTTTATCCATACATAACTTAATGGAAAACCAACTAAACATCCCTTAACACACCTATGTAGCCTTACAAACCAAACCATACCTTATCCCTATTGTAAATGTATAAAGAAAATATGGATGTTTTTAAGCAAATATTAGTAACTTGGGAAGCGTATTAGGAGCCATTTACCAAACGCTTATTGGGTAATTGTTTATCAGGTATCACTTACTTTACCGGGTGAGAATCTTACCCAATAAAAATGAGGGAGAAGACTTTTACCCGATAACTGTTTGCAGGTAAAAGACTCTTAACCAACAATCCATTTTGATGGACGAGAATGTTACCCAACAAGATAAGTGAGAGTGATGACTTTTACCCGGTAAGCATTTGGCATAAAACGCTTTAACTTTCCTAAATGCCAAATGAACAAATCCAGAATCTCACCTAGATACGATTCGGTACAAGATGAACAGACCATTTTCTGTAAAAACAAAACACAACATTCAAAGATTTTAGAATAGAATTATTCAGGAGAAATTAGTGCATAATACCTTGATCTAAGATTGACTTATCAAAAAAAAATGTTGTTGAAAGAAATATGCTGCTAATATGCTATTATAACAAGACCCCATAATAATAATAGTAACAGTAATACCACAGTGACAACAATCAAGTTTTGGATCTTCCAGCAAGCCCAGTCTCCACTTTCTTGATTTCAAAAATCAGCATCCTCCACATTTTAAGCACAAACATTTCAGCTTCGTCGTCCAGTATAGACTGAAGCCGATCCAGCATCTCATCTGCTGTCACGTGTTCTTGAGTGCTCGACACGATGTAATCTACCAGAGTCGTCTCCTCCTCACCCAAAAACTCTGTTATCTTCTTCGAGATCCATGGTCTCATCCTTTCATGCAATCCATTCTGTATAAACGTTACCAAACAACCAAGTAAATACAGACCAAATAGCACCCAAAGAATTCCATTCAGATTAGTTGATTACTCATTTCCTATATACTTTCAACATTAAGCCTTCTCATGGCAAAATATTTCACAAATAAACACTTGTTTGATTTTCAATTACTAGGATATAATGAATAAAGAAGCTAAGGGGTTGTTTGGTTGGTTTTCCCCATTAAGCCATGTACGGTTAAAGTTGTCAGTGTGGATTAATCTGTCTATATAAATTGGGAAGGTTTTTCTTTGGAAGGTCTTTTTCATATATGGAAGAAACGTGCTTTCCAAAAGAAGGGTTAGGTTTGTAAAAAACTTGGCTTTCTACATAAAGCTCCTCCTAGAAGCTTACTAAATAAGCCACTTTTTACATCATCAAGTTACTACCAAACAATCATATATAGCTGACTGAATAAATTGAGTCCCATTAAGTTCATTAAGCTGCTAACAAGCAGACCCTAAGAATCCATCCATTCAAACATTTGCTTCTAATTTTGTAGGCCCTCCGGGTTCATCGGGTTGGGTTGGGTTCAAATTATCGTAACCCAATTCCAACACCAATACCTACAGTTTAAAATTTTTACAACTCAATCAGACATCAGGTTGCTTCAGGTTGGGTTATTTCGTGTTGCGTTGGGTTGAGTTAGCCGGAGAACGGGTTGGTCAGGCTTTTGAGCACCCCTAGTAAGATAGCCTTATTATCTAGAACTCAAGCAAACCAAAATCTCCAGTTGCAGTTCTCTTTAGCTAAAGTTAATTTAGTTATGCAACTTCTGCAAAAGTTGGTCGAGAGTTCTTTCATAACATTTGTTACTCTACTGCCAACTCTCAAGACTTTATTCTTTGACTTCCCCAATAAAATGCATAGTGACTTGACTGGAAATATACAAAACAATCTCAAGATGCCACATTTGATCAGGTGATTTACCAATTAAGCATCTTCCCCGAAACATCTAAGAGCAAATCTTAGAATTCTCGAATCATTTTGTGAGTCATAATGCTTGAAGTAATCAAAGAACCTTAAGGGTGCATTTGGTATGCAGTAAGGATCCTACAGAACATGACAGCTTTCAACGTTTGGCAAGACAACTGGACAGATCAGAACAAATAAAATAACCAACTTACCCCTAATAAGTTGTTTACATACTTCATATATTTTGATTAATTTATGTAATTTATCAAGTTATAAAAAATAAATATTTCTTATAACAAAATATATCATCAGAAAGTTTTTGTCGAAGACGATTAAAAGTGCACCAAAATAAAAAGTTTATGTAGTTCCCACATTTTATTTTATACCTTTTCTATATTATCTTATTATTATTAATATTTAATAGATTACATAAATTAATCAATATATAGAAAACGTAGAAAAATAATATTTTGAGTATAGTGAAGTGAAAGTTTAAAGAGCATAAAATACAATAAATAAAATTTAAAGAATGAATAAAATTTAAAGAGAGAGGCGTATTTGATGTTTTAGAAGAGAATTAGACCTAATTTGAGGTTATATTGGTAAAATATAGGTCAATTACACCTTGTCCCATGGGGTGGCAGTGGAACACGCCTGTTCCACTTCGTTCCACTGTTCTTGTTTATTCTACATAAAGAATCCTACCAAACATGGAAGATCTCTGTTCTGTCTTGTGTACCAAACGCACCCTAAATGTGTTTGTGTGTATAATTGCAAGCGTTCAGTTGGCTTTTCCAGAAAATATGAAACAATACATGCAAATAGCTGCAAAAATGCACGCAAGAATGATATACTAACCTTGTCATAAGTTGCCCAGTTTATCGGATAAGAGAACAATTCGTCCTTGGTTTTTGGAATGGTGTCAATTAATTGTTTTGCATCCAAAAGCTTCTTATTATCCGGTGTCTTTGCTTTCTCTGATCCACGCTCACGCTCGATTGGTTCTTTTCTGGTTTCATCTCTGGACCGGTTAGCCTCCTCAAAATTCCGATCTCTATCCCGATGGCTAGACCTATCATGGGAACGTCTACTCCGTTCCCTTTCTGAATCAGGTCTCTCTTCTTTTGAATTTGCATTTCCAATTCGTTTTGCAAATTCAGCTGCTGCCGCCAAAGGTGAAGGTGCGACAGGAGCTGTGTCTTGCACAGCTTGCAATTCCTCCGTTGTGTAATCTATAGGAACCAAAGGCCGCATCTTTTTGTCCTTCTGTGCATCCTCATCTTCCTCTTCGTGGAAAAGAGAAGGAACAGTAGTTCTTTTTCCTGAGCCTACAAGACCAAATCCTAATTTTTTTGTGGTGACGGTGTTGCTTTGCCTCATTTCTGATGCTGCAGCAGATCCCACAGCTGAATCATCACCAGTTCCATTCTGTATAATCCTACTATCTGTCATATGTAAATCCCTACTTGGTTAATGAATACACAGAAAAGAGTGTGAAAACAAAAAACTAATTGAACCGTATAACTTACCAATCTCGTTCCCATGTGCCACCTCACCATCTGTAGTCTGATCAACAGCCTTATTTCTGATATCCAACAAGCCTCCATCAATTAACATAGCATTCTCAGCTCCATTAGTTGCATTACTAGATAAAAGTTCCAAGGCATGTTTTTGTTGTTCTTTCTGCTGCTCTCTTTCTTCTTCAGCTTTCCTCTTAGCCTCAGCAATCTCCTCCTCCTCTTTAATCCTGTCATCCATGTCTTCCTCCTTTTCCCTTAGCCTGCGTTTTCTTTCTTCTCTTTCCTCCCCACTACTTCTGTATTTTCTCTTTTTGCTATAACCATCATCATTTTCTTGATCCAATATCTCATATTTCCTATCTTGTTCCCTATCCTTTTCCCTTTCTCTCTCCTGTTTGCGTGCCCTCTCTTTCTCTTTTTCTCTAGATTCCCACTCCTTCAGGCGTGCCCTGTATCGGCGTTCATCTTCACGTATCTTGTATTCTCTTTCCCTCTCTCTCTTAGCTCGTTCTTGCTCCCTCTCTCTTTCATATCTTTCCAATTCCCTTTCCTTTTCACGCTTCAGGTCTCGCTCTCGGTCTTTGCTCCTCCTATCATTCTTATTACTTCGGTCCGGTGAGCTTGTTTCAGGTCTCTCATTTTCACCTGAAGGTTTGCTTTTGCTGGTCATTTCTTCACCATTTCTATCTTCCACTGCATATGTAAAAGATTGGTAAGTCACTGCATATTGTAGAATGTAGACAACCAATTATGACACATTTGTTAGCAGAGAGATCATGTTCACAAATTACAAGGACAATATTCAATATATGGAAACTATACTTTACCAGTTCTCGTAATATCCACATCTGAATCGCCATCTCTCGACCTTGCTGGATGTTCAGATGTTGAATTTCCAGGAACATCAGGAGCAGTTTGTGGGGGTGAAGGCGGAGGTGGTAGAGGTTTATTCTTTATCCTCTCTTCTATCATTCCTGTAATCTTTTCACTAGCTTCTCTATCAGCTTCCTTATCTTCATTAGTCACAAGGCCAAAGGTAGCAATGTCCTTAATTTCTTTGTTTGATTCATTGTTATCATCTTCCTTTTTCTCTTCCTTTGAAATATCCTTCGATTCCTCCACAGAAGACTCTGAAGGTTCGTTCTTCTCAAGCCCGGATGCATTTCCTTCCCCTTTACCCGAACCTTCAGTATCCGTTGCTTTCAGATTCTTGAAGTTGTCCTTTTTCTTCTCAACATAGAGTTTAAGATACTTTCGGGTTGCATGATCAAAATTCAACTGTAAATTTGAAATCCAGGAACATCAAATGATAAAAAAAAAAAAAAAAGGAATGCATGAAGAAGAATGATAGAGAACACAAGAACCTTGCAAAAGAAAAGACACATGAAGCATAATACGGGTAAACGAGAACCATATGATTGCTCTGGCTATAGATAGAGAGAAGGCATATCTATTTCTGGGATTTAAGACCTGGATTTGGGCCAAAACTCCCTAGAAAGTGCATACTCAAAACATAGTCCATAGATTTCCCTCCTCCCATAAAAATGCCAAACTAGTTTTGATGATTGCCACTATGTGCATATCACTGTAATTATCAACTGACATTAGAGAATAACTTAGGCTGTTTTTCTTCATAACATTAGGAATAACCAAAAGATAATACAGCTAGCAACTTATACATTTAAGAATCAACCGCACCTTCACCCAAGTAGAAGTTAAAATTGAAGGCAAGATAAATAACAAATGCAAGTATAATGCACATGGCCACCTACTAGGAAGATGTTTTTAAATCCATGTACTATTATTTCTTGACATGACACAACCGAAAAGGGGAATATATTGAAGTAATGAAGAATATAAAAAGATTCAATCATACCATCAGCTCCTGACCATCAATACTTAATTTATTCAGCATCCGTAAAGCACGTAAAACTCCTTCAGGGGATTCAAATTCACAAAATCCAAAGCCCTTGAAACCCCCAGTATCTTGAACACGTTTCCAACTTTTAACAGGCCCGCAGAGCTTCAACAGACATTAATGTGTGTAAGCACCTGAACATTGAAATTTGTTCCAATGAAACAATAGCGAGAAGAGAGACAACAAACTTACTTGCAAAAGGGAGAGCATGAAATCATTGTCCACCGTTGATGCTATCTTGCCAACATAAACCATGTTCATCGGCTTTTCAGTTGGAGTTATGGTTGGATTGATGGCTGGCCTTACAATTGTAGGAACCACTGGACCTCGCATAGGCATCATTGGAGGGCGTGGCAATGCTGGAATGACTCCCACTGCTCCAAGTGGTCGTTGAGGATATGCAGGTCGAAGCATTGATGGATACGGAGGAGGGGCATAACGAAGGATTCCTGCATGAATGAGAAAAAAATACTATGCAAACTTGTTAGAGCAGATTCAGCAAATTAATACAATCGTAAAAGTCTTCTGTCAACACTTCAAACAAAATTAAATCAGATTTAGTAACAAAAAATAATCAACAGTGTTTACCCAAATATTACAAGCAATTAGAGATGGCAGCATAGGCACACCAGCTGAACAGATAACCTGAATGAAAATAAGGACAAGTATATGGAATTCATAGATCATGGATGTACGAAGCAGCTTACCTCATGCATCCTGAAAAGTAGTGGCCTTGTCAAAATATTCCATGCACCAATCGTGAAGAATTGAATTTAGTAACAAGAGACTTCCATAGTCTCACAGACGCCGATTCAAACGATGACAAGACACTCTAATTTGTGTTCCACAGTTTTATATCTTGAACTATTATAGAACCATACACAGTAACAGATGCAAAGAATAGAAACCAAATAGTGTAGTTGGAAGGATTGTGATACCTTGGCATGTAAAGGGCAAGAAGCACTCAGTTGCTAGCATGTTCTGCTGCCGACAAATCACGATTCGAGAACCCATTAAAGGGAAAGTAGACTACAGATAAAAAGCCTACTAAAAATGAACATCGCAGAAATCGTTTAGCATGACAAACTAGAAGAGATTGCTTTTTGTTCATGACTTTCAATTTCTAGAATTCAAGGGGTCATTTTGATCATAAGAAGTACATTTTTCACTAAAGTTCGTCTATGTAAAGGAGAATGAAGGAAGCTAGGCAAAATGTTTGCATACCAAAAAAGTTGTGGGAGTAATGGTCTCTAAGAAACTGCAATATGGAGGAGAGCCTTCCAACCTTTATCACCACGACATCAGTCATTACGACACTGTACGAGAAAACATCTTGTCATCGCTACTCCCTAAACCAACACTAACTCCTCCCAATTGCTCTCGACCAAATTTTTTACACTGTTATTTACACTTGCAAACTCTTTAAGGGCTAAATCCACATATGGTATTAAACAAATTCCTAAAACGATTCGTGTACATACAAACATGTATCAAACACAGATGACTAAAATTTAACAAGCCTTTTCCACTTTGCAGCCACACATCAACAACAATTCGATCATAAATTCCAAAAAAAAAACAGGCGTAATAGATACAAATCAAAAAGAGATGACCCACCTGGAGGATTCATCGTTCCCTGAGGGACAGCCATTTGATAACCATTAGGCATCGGCGCATACATCCTCATCGGTTGCTGACCTGGCTGCCCGTACTGCGGCGGCATCATTTGTTGAACCGAAGACATCATGCCACTTGACTGCGACGGCGGCGGCATCATCACGCCTGGCGGCTGAACCTGGACCTGACCTTGACCTTGAATTCCATGGTTCTGAAAATTAGGGTTAGGTATCGGAGAGAACTGAGGAGCAGTTGGAAGCGGAACCGACGGCGTTGCTGGCCGGAAAGACGGAGGGACAGTAGAGAGTTGCGAAGGGGGCACAAAAGGTTGGATCTGCGGCGGCGGCGGTATTCCCGTCGGCTGCAGTGGTGTTGGTTGTAAATTATTAAGGTTAGGGTTTAGTGCTACTACTGTGGCGTTTGCGGTGGTGGCGAGAATTGCCGACGGTTGTGCGGTAGACGAATCTGGCAGATCCGAATTTGGTTGCTTCGGATTATCAGGCGCCGGTGGTTGTGTAGGGTTTTGCTGCTCTGTAATTGTTTTCTCCGGTGAGTTTGTCGAATTCGCCATTGATCCTTACAGAAAGAGATTGAGAGAGAGAGAGATCGAAGATGCCCAATTTTGGTGCCCTAATTTGGATTTTATATGTATTTCCTAAATTCCATCACGGGGATGACTACGGGATACGAGTTGTTAATCGGCAAAGTATAATACAATGTGTTGGATTACGAATTTAAAGATAATCAAAACGATTAATCGGTGATCGGTTCCGGTTTTGGAATCGATCATCGATTTGGTTCGGATATTAGTTTTGAAGAAACGGTAATAGACTACGAGATATCGTTTTTGGTTTATATCGTTCTTGAAAAAGCAATAATTGATTATAGGATCGTTGGTTCTGTTTCTATGATTTCGAAGAAAAAAAAACTGATTACAGGATATCGGTTTTGGTTTATATTTGTATTGAAAAAACAATAACTGGTTAAAGGATATCGGATTTGGTTCATATTGGTCTCAAATAAAGAATAATTGGTTATGATACATTGGTTCTCTTTGTATCGGTTTCAGGAAAAATATAACTGATTATAGGATAATTGGTTATGTTTGTATATGTTTTGGAAAAACAGTAACTGATTGTAGGATATTGAATTTGGTTCATATCGGTCTCAAATAAACAATAACTTATTATAAGATCGTTGGTTCTGTTTGTGTCGGTTTTGGAGAAATACAATCGATAATAGGATATCGGTTTTGGTTCATATCGGTCTTGAAAAAAAGCATTAACTAATTAAAGGATCAGTGGTTCTGTTTGTATCGGCTTTGAGAACAATAATCAGCTAACTGATTATAGGATATCGGTTTCAAAAAAAAACAATAATTGATTATAGGATCATTGGTTCTGTCTATATCGGTTTTGAAAAAATAATAACTGATTGTAGGATATTAGTTTTGGTTTATATCGATCTCAAAAGAACAATAATTGATTCTAAACGGCCATGCTGGTTTTTTAACCGTCCAATTTTCTTTTGTTTCCTGTTATACAGTATTAACATATTTCTTTCTTATTATTATGTGCTAAAGTAACAAAACAGTTAACATTTTTTTAGTATATTAAATATTTCTCATGTATTAAAATACGAATGTTATTTACTTTGATTAAAATATTTCGTTTATTTTGATTATCTATATCTATATTATATTATAAAACATTTGACAAAAACTCTTTAAAACCATTTTTAATACATGAAGTACTGTTTATTAATGCATATTACTTAAAATATAATATTACAAGTAAGTTGTGTGTAAATACAACTTATTAAAGCTATATGTTTGAATTCGTGTAACTAATGCAGATAAACATAACTAAATACAAGATAAACATCTCATTTTAAATATAAAAAAATCTTAAATATAACTAAGATAATCATTGAGTTCGGACAAAATACTTAATGATTATTTTTATAAAAAAATATATTATTAAACCTAAATTAAATTATTTCGTTACGTTAAATTAAATTATAATAAAAAAATTGAATTAAAAAAATTACAAAAAACTAAAACTTTTAAATAGTTAATTTGATATTAATATTGCTATATTTTTTCCAAAATTTTAAGATATTTTTAAATTTATATTTTATTCAAAAATAAAAATATTATTGTTTTCTCAAAACCACATAAAACCGTATTATATCGATATAGATAAAGAATAAAACGAAACATTGAAATCGATACGTATCTCGATGCATTGCACGAGTACCCTTATAGTTATATTATAAAACATTTGACAAATACTCTTAAAACCATTTTTTATGTATGAAGTACTGTTTATTGAGACATGTTACTTAAAATTCAAGATCATAAATAAATTGTAACTAAGTACAACTTATTAAAGTTTCATGTTTGAATTCGTGCAACTAACTGTAAATAAACATACTCAAATACAAGATAAACATTTCATTTTAAATATAAAAAATCTAAAATATAATTAAGATAATAATTGAGTTCTAACAGAATACTTAATTATTATCCTTATAAAAAATTATATTGTTAAATCAAAAAATAAATTACTTCGTTAAAAAAAGATCCTTAATTACTTACGCATAAAGTGGATTTTCTACAAAAAAACCATCTTTCTGTATAAGGTAAGGAACTAAGGATGGTGATTTGTCTCGATTCGGTGGGGAACATGACTCATCCAACCCGAACGGGGACAAAACGGTAGAATGGTGTCACGGGCACCCTCTAGGCTATTACTGAATCTGCCACTGTCATAAATTTCGATCCATCCATTAATACTTGTTCATATGTCTTCAATCCATCAAAACTTTACGAAGGAATACAAATATATGAATATAGATTTGTCGTTATCTATAACGAATGAACGTATGACACTTGATGCATCAGGTACAAGTTACAACGATCGTACGGAAGGCTCGAGCGCGGGTTGAAACCTTGGTGGCACTTTGAGTAAAGGAGCTTGGAAGTCACCTGGGTTCCCGAGCTGACCACATGCAGCCATTTGGTCATCTCCTCTACTCGGTCTCATGAAAACACGACAACCACCCTCAGCCAATGTATTTCTAAACTCGACCATCTTCTTGTCCGTTGTCGGATGGAAGTGGGACCCACTGTGCGGGTTGAACGTGATCAGGTTGATCTTGCAAGGAATGCCTTCAACAAGATCGACTATTCTCTTTGCATCATCGATGCTGCAAAATACGAACCCAAATCAATGACTAATGAATCCCGACCATGGGCCAAATTACAAAGATAACCCTGCGAAAACGCGTTGCTACTACGGGGAAAAAAGCATCAAAATGCAAACGAAGTTTCTCGGTCAATGTAATAAAGTTTCAAATTTTCATATTTCTTTTCACATTTTTGACTGGTTTGTAATATTTGATGACGTAAATGTCAAGTTTATCGTCCACTTGGCCATAAAACTTTCATAAATGGGTATCCACATTATCAAATGTTACAGATTAGCAAGTTATCGGTTAAAAATGTGTAAAAATAGAAAATTTCAAAAACTTTGTTACACCGATTGAGAAAACCAACTATGCATACTTTATTTATGATGAATGTCGTGATAGATGTTCATGATGAAAATACATGACAAAAAAATGCATGATATTTATGACCATTCACGGTTATTCATCATGAATAACATATGAAATATTCAAATAGTTGGATCCCGGGATCTTAAAATATTTATGGTTCTGATTTGAACTCCCTCCTACATATGTGTGTGTGTATATATATTCAGAGGAAAACCGCAAAAAAAAAATGAAAAATGGAGGAACACCCTAGGTTCATTCATTGTACGGTATGCACATATGCATACAAGTAATTTGTAAGTAATTTTTCTAGTATGCACATGTCCATGAGAAACCATGGAACATCTTCAATTACTTGTATGCCCATGTGCATACAATATAGATGTATGTACAGATGAATAGTTATGAAGGTGTTCCTCAGTTTTTCATTTTTTGGGGTTTTCCCCGAGCCTCCCTCTCTCTCTCTCTCTCTATGTATGTGTGTGTATATGTATATATGTTGGGTTCACATTTTACCAACTTGTTTTTGTGAGAACGCAAAATCACACTGAAACTTCACAATAAAACACTGTGAAAGTACAGAACACACCGAACCTTCACAACAAAAACACTTCAAGGTTCAGTGTTATTTATGTGGTCGCACGGATCTCACAAAAACAGTCTGGTCTCACATGATCCCAAGTCAATGTATGTATATACACACACACGCGTTTGTGATCATGTTAGTTAACAAATGCCAAAAGTGAAAGTAAAGTTGGTTCTTGTAACCTGTCGTTGACTCCAGCAAGCATCACGTATTCAAATAAGACTTTGTATTTGTGTTTCAAGCGAAGCTCTTCACGAAGGGTATCGAGAAGCAAACTCAAATTGTACTTGCGATTAATGGGCATGATCCAGTTCCTAACCTACAAACGACATAATTGCAGACTATAAAATCAAGAAAAGAGAGAAACAAATAGAAAGCTTAGCGGGTTGGATATCCAGGTTAATCAAAAAAAGAAGATAGAAAGCCTAGTCGTTGAAGAGATCAAGAAGATTACTTCATCGGTTGTAGCATTCAGGCTAACGGCTAAAGCACATTTAGACTCACGAAGGAAGCGTTTCATCTGGGGTACGAGCCCACTTGTTGAAATGGTAACTTTATTCGGGCTGAAATGAAGCCCTTGCTCGTCCACCATTATATCTGCGGCTTTCATCACGTTTTCGATGTTTTGAAGTGGCTCTCCCATCCCCTATAAATAGACACCATTCGTTCGCTATTAGTTGTCGTTTCTACTTTGACTTTGAATGTCAAACAAACGATTTTCAATTTAAAAATTTATACATACATATCTTTATATATAGGGGTAGGCTATATTTTGGGAACCCATTATTCATGATGAATATTCATAAAAAGAAGTGGTTAATGGGTTCCTAAATAAACCCCCCTATATATAGAGAGAGATGTAGGTTCATACGAGAATAATACCTATTTAAGAAAATAAGAAAATGGCCAAATTATGTACAAAATCACATGTGATTTTACATTAACGGCCAAAAAAGTATGCGGGTGACCCTATGGTCGCGTGGCAAGATCGCGTGATTCACATGTGATTTTGTACGTGATACTAGTATAAAATCGCATGTGATTCGGTCATTTTCTTAAATAGGTACCATTCTCGTATGAACCCGACTCTATATATATAGGGTCAGGTTCATTGGAAAATCACAAAAAAAGTGAAAAGCTAAGGAACACCCCGATAACCGTTTATTTGTACGGTACGCAGATGTGCATACAAGTAATTTGTCATGTATACACGTGTGCATAATATGCACACATGCATAAAAACCAAGAAACAACTTCAATTACTTATATGCACATGTGCATACCGTACAAATGAAGGATTGTCAGGGTGTTCCTCAGTTTTTACATTTTTTTTGAGGTTTTCCCTTGAACCTCCCTCTCTCTCTCTCTCTCTCTGTGTATATAATATACATATATATATATATATATAACTCATGTTTGGCAACCATAAACTAGCTTGTGTTTTGAGCGTTTGGTTAGCCATAAGTGGTGTTTCAATAAGCTCTAGGGTAAAATTTTCAACTTTTTTCAGTTATGCCCCTTGTATTTTCTAATTACTTGTTCAAACATGTCCGGTCATTTTACATTGTCATCTAGCTTATCAACTATTTCTTTTTACCAAACATGACTAGTTTAACAGCTAGCTTATCAGCTAGTTTGCAAACATAGCCTTAAGATGAATATGTAGAAAAATATACAATATTATAATCTTGCGTTTAACATTTAAAGTCAAGAGGGACATTTCAGTCTGGTCAAAATAAGAACGAGTTGTTTTTTTTTTCTTTTTATCATTCTTATTTACAAACATTATAATAAATCTACGCATACATACCATGAAAACAACATTTCTGATGGAACCAACTTCACTCGTAAACAGGCGCCGAGCGAAGACCGCCTGTTCTACTATTTCTGCCGCAGTTAGATTTCTTCTCAAACCCATCCTGAAAAACCGACTGATCTGTCAATAAAATACTAATTTCGGGTTTATTTTGCCATTTTTGTTACAGTTTTTTTCCTTTATCAAGAAACAAACTTACACCTTTGTGATTGAAAAATGATCACAAACATGATTATGAGACGATTTTTTTGTTTCCAACTGTCTTAATTATCCGTTATAACCCATTTCCAATCAAAGTTGGATCCACAAAGTGGTTGGACCCACATGGACAGATACGGTGGCACGGGCCACCACTTGATGGTTCCGTTATAAGGGGAAAAATTACGTTTCTGAAGGGTGCCACCGTATTGTTTTATTTGGTGCCACCATATAGTTTTTGAAACGGTAATGTTAACACAAGACTTAGCGGCTAAGATGGTAAATGCTCCTATCTTTGTACAAAGGCCCAAGTTCGTGTCCTACAGTCGTCAATTTTGTCGTTTTTTAGCTTAAATTTTAGTGTTATTTTATATGCCTCATGTGCTTTTAAAAATATATGTAGCCGGGACTCGACATGGGTCTTTTCTCTATGTAAGAACAAGGAACCAACCAACATACCTATACTAATATTGTGCAAAAAAATTAGATAATTTTTTATAGGCAAATTGTGCCACCCTTGAAAAAATTACAGGGTCCGCCTCTGGTTTCATGATCGCGCATAACAAAAAAGAAATTATATTTAGCAAACATCATCGGAAGAAAAACTTGCCTGCCGGTAAAGCAGAATTGACAGTTCATTGCACAGCCGACTTGACTTGAAACACACACCGTATTCCGCCCCCTATCGCCATTAGGTATAATGACCGTCTCTATTACCAATCCATCATCCAACATAAACAAAATCTGCAGCCTCCTGAGATATTATAATTAATGAGAAGATCCTCAAGAACCATTACCAATATTCCTTTATGCCATTTGAAAAAATTTCAATTTTGAGGGTCCCGCTTATATCATGCGTGGAGAATGTACTGTGATTTGGGTTTTGTTTCTTTGACACATTGTGTTTGGTATGCTGGACAAGACAGAACAACACAAAAACTTGTCCCATGTTTGGTGCAGCATTAGACTGAGATCGGACGGGACTAAGTAGGACATAACAAATGATGGAACAAAATTGGTAAAATTGTTAAACTATCCATGACAAATTAAAATCCTAAAACCTTCTACAATTCTTTTACTTAGTGCCCGTTTGTTAGCAGCTTAATGGGACTCGCAACTTATTCAGTCAGCTATACATGATTGTTTAGAAAGTGGCTTATTCAATAAACTTTTAGGGGGAGCTTTATGCAGAAAGAAAACTTTTTCCAAAATTGCCCCTCCCAATAAAAAAAACATTCCACCCATCTATGAAACACCTCCCTAACAAAAACCTTCTCAATCTCTACAAACAGATTAATCCTCACAGACATCTTTATCCATACAAGACTTGATGGAAAACCAATCAAACAGACCCTTACACTCACGCCTATCCTGTCCATTCTCGTCTGCATACCAAACACACCCAAGAAATAAAGATGGGGCCCACAAAATCAAGGATTCAAGAAACTGATTTAAAGAATGAATGACAACCATATGAGTTATATCAAGCAAGTTTATATCTCAGAAAGATTATGTTTACCTTCCTAGTGCCATCAGAGGCTATAACGATATCTTTCACTTGTAGTGCCTTCAATTTAGCATATTTACTCAACATCATCGAAAGATCTTTGTTTAAACCTAGAAAAAAAGTAATGAATTAAAAACACTTCAGTGGTGAAGTTGACATTTAAATTCTTGAAAATGAGCTGAAACACAAAGATTAGGTTAAATTTCAAGTTTTGAACCTTCCAATTCATCGAAGGAATGTGCCCAAATGCTGTTTGAATTGTTTCCATAAAGCAGCTTCCATAACATCAAAGCTTGAGCAGATCTATATCCTTTTGAAATCACCCAATTCTGTTTAAATAATCAAGTATTTAGAATTTAAAAACAAGATTAAGGGCCTAAGGGGTATATATATAGATGAAAGATCTTGTGAGAATAGGAGTTAAGGTGCGAAGTGTAAGAAGGGATTTGGACCCCGGATCACTTTAAATCCCAAAACAACCCATGAATTGCACTTTATAAGGGCATTGATCTAGTGGTTCTCTCCAATTACGATTAATCCAAGAGTGGAGATCCCTTCTTACCCTTCTAGTTCTCGCCATAACTTTCATTCTCACCGGAACCAAACCCTATATATAGAGTCAGGTTTAGGGGAAAACCGCAAAAAAACGAATAAATGAGGAACACCCTGGTGTCATCTGCTCATCTGGATAGTATGCACATGTGCATACAAGTAATTTGTAAGCAATTCGTCTAGTATGCACATTGCATAAAAACCAAGAAATGGCTTCAATTACTTGTATTACCATCCAAATGAAATGGTTAACCAGGGTATTCCTCAGTTTAAGATTTTTTTTGGTTTCTCCCAAACCTCCTTCTCGCTATATATATATATATATATACACACACACACACACACACACACACACATGCCAATCAAGATTTTTGCAGACAGACCCAGAAACCGAAACCATTCTATTTCTGTTTGCCAACCATTCTCGCATCCTGTTGATTTACTTGTTGATCCTCAAATGTGGGACCTTATAAGTCACAATAAACGAATATTTAAAGAAAGAAGTTATAAGAAGGGATAAACATGCACATACTTCGAGTTCTTTGTATCGCATTCCTTTCAGAAGAATCTTTTGGGAATCCTTAGGATTAATTCCACCATCTTCAGCACCTATTACAGCTAAAAATCAATACAACGAATTCGCAATTTCTGTAAATAGATACGTAAAACGTTGAAATGTCACCTGACGAAGATGAACAATTGTGGTCTAGGGTTTGGGAAATCGGAAATCGAGAGGACTGAGGAGTTGCAGTAGTTGAAATTGAACTGTGTCGATGAAATAAATGAGAAAGAAGTGGTGGTGTTGGTTTGGAAGAAGACGGAGTGAATAGCGGTGAAATAGAAGAGGCGGTGGTGGGGCGGAAGACGGAGGAGGAGGCGGCGGCGGTGGTGGTGGTCGCCATCTTTACTCGCCTCATCCAGATACAGTAGCTCATCTCCATGATTGTGGTACAATTCGGTTCCATCGTAGGTCTTGAATGAATTTCTAGCTCGTAGTTGTTGAGTTATAATTCATCTACAAAACCAGAAGGCATGAAAGCGTTTGTAGTCCAACGGTTAGGATAATTGCCTTCCAAGCAATAGACCCGGGTTCGACTCCCGGCAAACGCATTTATTTTTGCACCCAAACCAGAAAATATAAATAGTTAAAAAATGACTAATTTACCCCTTGGTTTGTATTTTCTCCTTAAACAAATAATTGTTTGAGGCAAATTGCATGTTAGTTACTTTAACTTGATTTCTATTTTGGGTAACGTAGTTTTAAAACCTTCATTTTGGTACTTAAATGTAAAGTCTTAAACATTTAAGTATCCATATGTAAGCGGTTGAAGCATTAATTTTTTTTCTTTCTAATAAACCACAATACATAAAAACTAAATTTAGATTAAGATATCCATGTCATGAATTAATACTGAATTGGATTCTTGTTGGTTGGAACCTTCGGTTATCTTGGTAGAAATTTGATATATTTATTTCTATCTCATGAAATGGTTTTTTTGTCCACAAGGAATTGTGATGTCTTTCTAGGAGATCGATAGTCTTTTTATTAACTCCTATTTGCGGTGCACAATTTTGTGGAATGTAGGTAATGGTTATGACTGGTTTGATAGAAGAGACGGAATAGTGTGCATCTTTCAGTGGGGATTTCTTCGAAAATTACGTGAACATCATAGTTTGGAAACAACTCAAGATTCCAAAAATTTGAAATTAGTCCATTCGCAATTTTGATCACGCAAGTTGGAGAAATCGAGCAGGTGTGCGAGCTTCAAGCAGTGTGTAAACACTGCGTGGAGAAATCAAGAGGTGTGAGCATCCTTTGTTTTAACTGTAAAAGGTAGCTTGTAACGGTGGTTGGAGTATTCGGGGAGGGGGTGATTTTCTTTTGTTTTAAATGTAAAAGGTATGATTTAATGGAGAGTAGTTTGGAAATTTTGATGGCTCAAGTTATAGGAGTAATGTCATTGAGCTTACCGAATAAGCTCTCAGCCGAGCGAACGAGCCCCAATCGAACAACCTTTTAGAGCTGAGCGAATAAAGCTTATACCATCCATTAAGCCATAAACGAACATCCTCTAAGAGCATAACCTGGTAAGAGGATTGTTACCAAATAAGTGGACAAGTAAACATGGTCTAAGGGGTCGTTTACTAAATACTTACTTGATAAGTGCTTACCATATAAATTTCCTCATCGGATGAACATAAGAAGAACCAAGAATCTTACCGGGTAAGAGCGATGAGAAGGATGGAAAGTCTTACCCAGTAAGTGAGAATGACGACTCTTACTCAGGTAAGCGCTTACCCAGTAAATTGTTGCATTCGATATGTTTTGATATACTAAAATCTTACACATCAAAATAAATCATAGTGTTGACTCCTATCGATAAGCGCTTACCAAGTAAGCAATTGGGTAAACGGCCCTTACATATGGGTGTGCAAAAAAGAACACTACCAGCAACGGACACGAAGGAGTCCCAAAACCTGACATCTATTGTCCGTCGAGCTAGCCCAAAGTTTCATGAACGAACAAATATTTATCAGTAAAATGGTAATTTTTTTTATACATTCAAACTATCTACTTATAACAACACACTTACAAACAATCATTTCATAAACTAATACATGAGTTTGCAAAAACGACCACATTTCTGAGTAAAATGGTAATTTTTAGACATCCATACTAATGACACTCATCAAACAACCACTTTTCATTATGTAACTAACATACGGGTTTGCAAGAACGAACACATATTTATCCGTAAAATAGCAACTTTTAGACATTTAGAGATCTAAAAGTTTACAAAAACAAACAGTCTTATTGATTCGGTTTTCAGACTTCAGCATCACTTCTTATCAACCAGAAGTGGAATAAGACTTCAGACTTTCTTAAAAAACAAACACCACCTCACTTTTTATTTCGTAACTAACATGTGGGTTTGCAAGAATGAACATAAATAACCAAATAACACATTTAAATTAAGCAAATAACCACTTGATGCAAACTAAACCCATGTTTCTTATGGTATCAAACAGCATTTGACACAATCAATCTGCACATATTCAAAGATTCTTCATCTTGATCCTCAACTTTCTTGCAATTTCTGTTGCTTTTGGATGCAGTCTCTTGTTAGAATCACATTGTTCATCTTCCACCCACTTAATAACCTTCAGTAGAAGTGATTCAGAAACTTCCTTACCATCCATTTTTGATTTTTTCATACCCTTCTCCAAAACTTTCTCCAAGAACTCCATGAACCAGTTTCCAGCCTCTGTCTCAATCTGCTTCCCTAGCTTAATCATATCGTCCGGGTCGCCACAAGACAATCCCGGATTCTTATTTTCAAATAATCCCATTTTACCCTTTTGGTTGACTTTTGATCTCAAGTGTCTCCCCAAGATTGTCGACTGCTGATCATTTCTGGCTCTTCTCCTGGAAGTGTTGTTGGAGTCGGACTTGTTGTTCATGATATCGTGCAAGATTTGGGTGTCGTCTTCTTTGTTAGATGTTTTGGTTGCTGCTTTGATTGACACCATATCAGATATGGCTTGAACAAGTTGCTTATGGAACTCTAGAAACTGATCGAAACAGTCTGCTGGAACCTCAGGGTTAACCGACTTACTCAAAGTAGATAAAGTCCTGTAAGTCGGATGCAAACTTGATGTTAGTATAACACGGTGTTGTTTGTTTGTTTTCTCAATGAACCCTGTTTGGAAAAAAGTTCTGTATGGATTAAGCTAAATACTGTTTGATTGCTATGCTGAATAAAATGTATGAATCAACATAGCTAGAGGACTGAGTCTATTAAGCCTATTCAGCTTATAGCTTCATCATTAAACCGTAAAGAAACTCTATTATATGGCTGCGTGAATAAGCCCTCTACCCCATTAAGCCGCATACAAACAGCCCCTGAAGATGATTAGCCAATGCTGCAAAGATAAGGGTATAGGGTTTGTGATACGTGGATGCTAGTATTTAGCGATCCTAAAGAAACTAACAATGGGGTGTGTGTTTATATAATTGTATATAAATAAGAGGATGTTTGGTTGGTTTTCCATTAAGTCCTATATTTATAAAGTTGTCAGTGTTGATTAAGCTGTCTATATAGATTGGGAAAGTTTTTTGTTTGGGAGGGTTTTTCGTAGATGAAATAAGCATGTTTTTTAGTGTTTTTAATTGGGAGGGGCAGGTTTAAAAAAAAAAACCCTGGCTTTCTGCATAAAGCTCCCCCTAAAAGCTTACTGAATAAGCCACTTTCTACATCATTAAGCCACTACCAATCAGTCATTTATAGTTGACCTAATAAGTTGCGAGTCCCATTAAGCTGCTAACAAACAGGGTCATATTAAAACTAAACAAGTGAAAGAAAGAAATCATCTCATGATTTTCATATACATTAAACTGATATATATTTAAGCTAGACATAAATAAAAGTATATAGGTTTGGATCAATTAGTCATACTTGAGAGAACAAACAAGGGTTTCGATGGCTGAGGCATTTCTAAGCGCTTGAAGGGCGATCTTCTGTGCTCTTTCTCGTTGTTGGATGGCTTCCTATCGTACCACTTTTCATAAGAGTTAGAATATCCAAAAATCTTTGGCATTGTTTGGCAAACATAAGTTAGCTTATTTTTTGAGTATACATTTGGATAAGTTAGCTACCAGCTAGTTTGCCAAACATAGCCGTCATGATTTTTTTTGGAAAAAGAACATAGCCTTTATGACGGTGAAATGAAAAATGGAAAAGCTTGAGGACTTGAAATTACCTTTCCAAGTAAACTAAGATTTCGCGGCAAATTAAATGATAAGTTGGTCTCAGAAGATGAATGAGCATCATAAGGAGACTCTAGTTGTGAGCCCATCTTTGTGTTCGAGCATTCCTTTATTTCTACATCAGCAATGGGGGACGACGCCACTCTTGAGGATCGTGTGGCACTTCTCTTTTCCTATAATCATCAGATAGAAGCATCAAAGGACTGATTTTGGAATAAGAAGTCAAATAAATCTTTGGTTTTCAATAAATGTTCATAAAATAGATTTATATTCAGATCACAAGTTGAGTTTTCAACATATTGGAAGATAATATGAAGGCATCAGCTCATATAAAGCATCCTTCACAGATGAATAAACAAGGAATGTGTGTTTAAAATGCCCATCAATATTTCATCTAAAGTTAGCTGGGAAGTTGATCCAAAAACAAACTTTGCAATTGATATGGGAAAGGAATTAAAAGGCAGAATCGGGCCTGGAAGCATTTTCCCTCAATGAGGCAAGGCATAAGCCCTGTGGCGGAAATATATACACCAAAATATGTATATATATTACAAAAATATATACATCTAGTACAACATATATATATATATATAATATAAAATTACTAAGGGAGTTGGTTCAGTGGTCCTTGACAGAGGAAAGAGTGAAACCAGTGACATAGGCGGAGAGGGTGTGGAAAAATTGGTTGCTTGGAGGAAGAGTCAAACCACTCTTTTTGATTGAGAAGAGAAAGTACTAGCTTTCTGGATTTTAAAATATTAAAAATACCCATGGGACCGTTAATTGGGATTTGACTTTTAGTTTTTTAAAATAAAAAAGGACACTTAGGCCCTGTTTGTTTTTCAAAAAAAACCCACTTAATTGCCTCTTATGTCTGAATCGATCAGACATTGAGGTATTAAGTGCGTTTGTTTTTTTTTAAAATTAAGTGCTTAAAACATCTGAATAGGTCTGATTTATTCAGAGGTAAACTAAAGTCTGAAAACCTCTTAATCACCTTCGCCTACTGCATACGCTCCCTTAGAAGAACCGGTTCCAGATTTGGCTTTCAAATCCTTTTGTTTATGAACCTCAGCGCGTGGACTTGTATCCGATTTCAAATTTGATTTCGATTTCGATTCCAAACCTTTTCTCTCGCATCGATTTCCATCGGATTGCTCTTCTGGACTGTCGGTAGAAGGAGGCGATTCCAAACCCTTTTTTCCATCTGGTATTCGTTCAAAATCAGCGACCTGGATTTCGATGGAGGGAAACGAGAAGCGGCGGGGGAGGCGGTGGTGGTAGGGAGGGATTTAAGCTTTCGGAGAGAGAGAGAGAAATAGAGAGATAGAGAGAAAGGGCTTCTAGTGGGTATATGATTATTTCCTTTACAAATTATTGAGTTAAAAAATATTATTGAAATCATGAAATTGTATGTAAAACTTGCAAATTGAATTTGTCATTAAACTAAAAAGCCTTCAACAAAATTCCAAATTAAGTTTCACAGGAAAAAAAAAAACACTTTTCAGATTTCAGACGTAAAAACAAACAGTCTGACTGATTCAGATTTCAGACTTCAGCACCACCTCTTAAAATTCAAAAGTGAATTCAGACTTCAGACTTCAGCACCTCTTAAAAAACAAACGCCACCTTATACTATACAGAGAAGTACTACTATTGTCATAAAGCTTATAAAAAAAATTAAAGAAACCATTACCAAAGCAGATCATCTGAGGCATATGCCTCGACGACGCCTCACGCCTCACTGAACCAAGGCGTAAGCCTCTTCCAGGGTCCAAAAGGCGCCGCCTCAGGTGCGGTTTTGCGTGGCCTCGCCTTGAGGCGTATGCCTTAAATGATTTCAAAAACCATGAATATGGGCACATCAGAATAAGAACTTTTACAGATTCTATAAGATAAGAAACTCCTTTTCCATGATCCTGACTCATGGGGTCTTCATTCTTTGTACACTATATGTAAGTACTGAATTCGCTTCATTAAGACTTAGCTGAAACTAGCATTTGCATTTTTCTATTATTCTTGTAGGATCAAATAGAAGAAAGTCACTGAGAAAGAAAAATGCACACGTAGAGTAGAATTGGGCATGTCAAGATTTACTCTACAAGCCTGCAACAGAAAAACTTTAGCAAGGAGGGAAGATGTACCTACAGCTAATTTGAAAGGACTTCTTAATGTCTTTGCCACTTTGTCACATAAGCTACTCTTGCTCCTCGGAATCTTCACCTTAGAAGAAGTATCGCTGCTTTTCTTTACAGGCACAGGAGTTTCAGTCAGTTTAGACACCGATGCTCTTCCATTTGAGCTTCTCTTCTCAGCTGATCTAACGGTGATCACCGAATACTTTTCTTTAACAGGTGTACTTTGATCAAATTTCAAAGGGGATCCCTTTATGGCCATAGGTGATGCACAAACCCCATTTTCTCCTTTTTGGCATGCAACCCAAGAACCTCTTCTAGGAGCCGGGAATATTGGGGTCCGATTCAGATTCTTCGAGGACTTCTTTTTCACAGGTGTACACCGGTCAACCTGCAAAGGAGATGGATTTAAAGCCAAAGGTGATACACAAACTCCATATTCTACCTTTTGCCCTGTATCCCAAGAACCCCTTTTTGAAGCAGACGATTTTGAATTCAGATTTGAAACAGGATCCAGAATCACAATTCCCTTTTGCTCACTCTTCTCCTCTTTTCCAATCAACCCAATCAATGGTTCAGGAATTCCAACAAATGGGTGGCGGCCAGGAAGCGGTTTCACCCCTTTGGCTATAGGAACAGGGGAACCAACCTCCAATTTTTTGACATGAATGAATTGACCGAGCTGCAGTTTATTGCTGAGAACAAGATCATCTTCTTCAAAAGGTAAACTCACATAGATCGAGTGAGATGAGTCCGAAACTTTTATGTAAAATCCATGTTTTGGAAATAGATCTTTCTCATCAAGATCAACTGGCACAATATCTGTAACTTGTAAAAGTGAATTCCTATGTTCACTTGTGGGATTCACCCCTGAATTCATCCCATCTAGTAACTTCAATAACACCCCTGGTATCAATGTTGCCATGATCACAAAACTTTACTTGATATAAAAAGCAGAAAATCTGGGATTTGGGGTTGGAATGAACAAGGGTTTGTTACAAGAATCAAATGTCGATTTCCGCAAGAACGAAGGAGTTCAACTCATTGATAACATGATCCCAATTCATCGAAATCATGTGGGTGCCAGGATTTTAACAAGAAAATGGTAAATTAGAAGATATTCATCATTTCATCCCCAATTTTTTCAAATTTTGCAAATTGAAAACAGAAAACTGAACAAAATCTTCATCAAAACGGAATCTAACTGTTTGGTTGAACAGTGATTAGGGGTTTATGATGATTCGATGAGAAGGATTTGTGAGAATTTGGGGTTGAATTGACCGATTTTTTCTTTTTGAAATGAGAGCGGCTTTTGGAACGTTTGCTGTTGTGTCACGGTAATATTGTTGGTTTCATAATTTATTATAGGCGGGGAGAGTAGTCTTAACGACGCCGTTTTGGAATTATCAAATGTTTTGCCATGATGACGAAAACGATGGGCGTATTGGGAAAATAATAATGACGTCATCTTTTGATTTACTTTTTATCCATTATTTGATGATTTTAATGAATATTTTATAATAATAAAATCAAATGATTTAACTTTTTATCCATTATTTGATGATTTTAATGAATATTTTGTAATAAAAAAATCAAATGATTTAACTTTTTAACCTTTATTTGATGATTTTATTGTTTTGTAATTAAATCAGATATTAGAGTATCTTTAACAGATTTTTTATAACTTTATTTAAAATAAAAAATAATATTTAAAATCTTTAAAAAATTAATCATAACAGATTCTCTGTTTTAGAGATTTCAAAATTAATTAGACATACATTTTTTAAGAAGATTACAAATGTACTCGCATAGTGCAGTATGATACATCTCGATTTTAGGAAGTCAAAGGTTCAAACCTCACTAAAGGTGAGAAGGGTGTGTGAGTTTACTTGTTGGATTTGTCGTATATAAATATTATATACTTAAAAAAATGATAATGTATTTATATTCGAAAAATAATATAAATTTGAAGACCCCATAAAAAATTAAAAAAAAAAAAGTATATCGATTACTATCAAGTTAACAATTTAAAAGTTCTTATTTTTTTTTGGCATAATTCAAATTTTTAATCATAAATTAATCTGAGTTCGATAACGAAGTAACTTATTTTAGGTCTAATTATGTAATTCTTTTATAAAGATACTGATTAGGAAATCTGTTACAACTCAATGGTTATCTTAATCATATTTAGATTCTTTACATTTAAAATGAGATGTTTATCATGTATTTGATTATATCCATCAGTTAGTTATATGAATTCAAGCATACATTCACAAAAAAGTTGTACTTACGCAAAATTCACTTGTAATCCTTACTTTTAAGCAATATTTATAATATATTATAAAACATTTGACAAAAACTCTTAAAAATCATTTTTATGCATGAAATACTGTGTATTGATGCATATGACTTAAAATTCAATATTACAAATATTGTACGTAAGTACAACTTATTAAAGTTTTATTTTTGAATTCATGTAATTAACTGCAGATAAACATAATCGAATATAGGATAAACATTTAATGTTAAATATATAGAATTAAAATATAATTAGGCTAATAATTGAGTTTTAACAGAATACTTAATTATTATTCTTATAAAAATTATATTTTTAAACAAAAATAAATTATTTTGTTATTAGATATAAATTAAATTATAATAAAATTTTGAATTAAAGAAATTACATAAAAAAACGAGAACTTTTAAATAATTAATTTAATATTAATATCGATACTTTTTTTTCAAATTTATATTTCATTAAAAAAAATTATCGTTTTCTAAAACCACATAAAACCGTATTATATACATAGAGAAAATGAATAAAATAATACATTAAAATTAAGATATCTCGTTGCATACCTGTATTGCACGAGTCTCCTTCTAATACATAAAAAAACAATATTTTATACGTAATTTAATATTTTATAAAATATTGTTTTTTCTTAAATGTCGTGATATGGTATAGATTTATATAAAATTATAATAATCAATCTCATTAGTAAAAAATAAATAAAAAATCATTTTTATCTATTTCCATCAAGTTTTAGGGAAAAATTAAAATTAATTATTTTTATTATTTTAAATTAATATAAAAAATTATTTAATTTTAAAAAATCTATTAATGATACTGTAAATATGTACACAAACAAAAGATATGCAATCACATGTTCTTAAATGTTCCCCAAAAAGATTTTATAAGGTTTTACCTTTTACATTATATGGCTTTTTATATAAAATAAAAAATAAAGATTAAAAAAAACTAACTTTTTAATCATTAAATCTCTGAATTAATTTTTTGAATAAAAAATTATTAATTTATTTTTATTTTGAATGATTAAGTTCCTGAACAATTTTTTTGAATGAAAAAATCATTAAATTTTTTATTTTTGAATGAAAAAAAATTATTAAACGTTCTTATTTTGATTGATTAAGTATCTGGATATTTTAAAAATAAAATAAATCATATACTTTTAAAAATTGGTTACCTACATTCTTTTAACAAAAAATATATATATATATATATATATATATATTAACCGACTAATAAATGTTCAATTTTTTAAAAAAAAAATCAAGGTTTTAATCATTTAAAATATGAAATTTAATGGTTCTTTTATTCAAAAAATAATTCAGAGACTTAATCTTGATATTTGATGGAGAAAAAAAATTGTGATCCTCCTCTTTAATAATTTTTAGTAAACGAATATTGTTGTAATTTTTTTTACCTTAAAATAATAACTTGGAGAATTTATTATGAATAAAAATAAAATATTATAAGTTCCATAAATAATTATTAATGTATTAATGATTTATGTCAATTGAAATTAATTAAAAAGTTGGACAAAAATAAGAATCAATTAGAGGTTATGATGGGGGTTAGATTGCAAACCATTCAATTTGTATAAATCGTACAAACCATATTTATCCGTCGATTTTATTATTTAATCTTATGAAATTTTTTCATGAAATTGTTTCATATAATTTTTTTTTGATGAAGTTGTTTCATATATGGTTATGAAATTGTTTCATGTAACACTTAATGAAATTTTAATGAAACTGTTTCATGTATTTCTCTAAAATTAAAATAATGAAGATGATAATATCCATAATTAACACTCTCCACAATAAAAATGATTAATCAACCTCTCTTAATTACAAAAAAAAATGAACAAAATCAAAAATTATGATTGGTTGAACGAGGTTTACACGATTTGTACAAACTGGGTAGTTTGCATTTGATCGCTCCTCTATGATGCCTATACCTATAATTAAAAAATTGTTTTACCGTACACTATAAATACAAAATACCATTTTTTTGTATCAAAACAGTATAATTTTTTAATATAAAAAATAATTCGTCTTAGTAAAACTTCATTTTTAATACCACACAAAATATTATTAGATAAATAGAGAGTGTCAAAAGTAGGTGTTTTTTATTCCATTGAATATTATTATTGGTTATTTATTAAATCATATTGGATATGATTAATATGGTGATCTGATTTTGAATCAATTAATCTACAGTTTTAATGAATTATTCAAATATTCTCTTAATTTCTTATAGAAAACAATATCGTAAAATATGAATAATTATATATATCTATGATACTAATATATAAGTAACTTTGGGGACGCGTGTCACGTTTCTATGCTACGGTTGTTGATTTTTCCCGTCTAAAACACAATTTTTACTTACGGTCCCCATACTTAAAACATAACTCTGGAAAAATTCACGTCTGAATTTAACTCTGGAATGGTCATCAAAACCGGGTTTAAAATTTCAAATTCGCATTTTTGAAGCATTTTTCACAAACCAATATTATCCAGGAAAAAAATTTAGAAGAACATGTACTCTTAGTACTTAATTAATTAATAATAATGTGAATTTAATTAATTTATATAGTTATTAAAAGAATATTAATACCTTATTAATTAATAATAACATAAAGTTAATTAATTTATAACATCTATATACCTAATAAATAAATAACTTTGGGGACACGTGTACTTAATTAATTAATAATAATGTGAATTTAATTAATTTATATAGTTATTAAAAGAATATTAATACCTTATTAATTAATAATAACATAAAGTTAATTAATTTATAACATCTATATACCTAATAAATAAATAACTTTGGGGACACGTGTACTTAATTAATTAATAATAATGTGAATTTAATTAATTTATATAATTATTAAAAGAATATTAATACCTGCCAGGGGCTGCCGCCACCCGGGGGCGCTGCCCCCCGGACCTCTTCAGTTAGGGGCTTCGTCCCTAAATCAAAATAAACTCAAACAAGTGTGCACTCCGCACCTGCCTTACCTGTTTAATATTTATCATGATTACATTGGTCAACAATTTAATCCCATTATACTTAAATGACATTAGTGATATAAATCATCAACATGAAGTCATCAGATATCGGTTATTTCTTAGACTTACAACATAACTCTGAATTGTTTTGTTCCAAACTTAGTTATATAGTTTATTTCCAGACTTAGAATACAACTCTAAACTCCTCTTCAGAGTTACGTTTCTGAGTTATAAGAAATCAAAATTTTTGTAACTCAGAGTTATGCTCGTAGATACTTTATAGACTTAGAAAACTCTGAATTCCTTTTATTCAGAGTTAACTCCAAAGTTATTTTCCAGTCTAACAATAGAATTCCGAATTCTTGTGTCATTACACGGGTCCAAACCTAGTATATATATATATATATATATATATATATATAGAGAGAGAGAGAGAGAGAGAGAGAGAGAGAGAGATAGAGAGAAAGAGATAACCAGGTTAAACAATAACCAAATAAAAAAAACGGTTGAATCATATATGATCTTATACTAAAATCACGTGTAAAACCATGTGTGATTCATGCAACTTTTGCTACAATCTCACGTCGTCTACACACCCTTACGTTGACTGTTAGTGTAAAGTCACATGTTACATGATATAGCCGTTTTTATGATCTCTTTTTTTGTTATTGTTCTCGTTTGAACCCCCCCCCCCCTCCTCCCCTCTCTCTATGTGTGTGTGTGTGTGTGTGTTAATTAGATGATCAAACGATAACAATAACCAAATAAAGAAAAATAAGTAAACGACTGAATCATATATGATTTTACACTAAAATTATGTGTAAGATCATATGTGATTCATGCAACTTTTGCTACAATCTCACATCATCCACACACCCTTACGTTGACTGTTAGTGTAAAAATCACATGTTACATGATATGCCATTTTTATGATGTCTTATTTGGTTATTGTTCTCGTATGAATCTCCCTCTCTCTATATATGTGAATGTGTGTTAATTAGATGATCATTGGATTTGAATAGGTTCGGTTTTAATGGATTTTGGAGCGCCATCCAAGAACTGAACGATCCAATCTAGATGCCGGAATTTTGGATCCGACCCGATCCAATTATGTTCAATCGGTTATAATTGGATCGATCCATTTTGATTGGATCAAATGATTTTATGCACAAAACCCTTTGGTAAATACCATCAAAATGAATAGATTGTAAGTTACCAAGAAAATAAAGATTGCAGTCAAAGACCTTCCAGCCTAGTGGTAAAGGCTTGGGCATGGCATAGTCATGAACCCAAGTTCGAGCCCAGGGAGGGTAGTGTTGGCGACATTTAAGTGGGGCCATGTTTAGCCTCCAAAATTGCCGGGGATTAGTCGGGCGTTGGCCCGGACACCCTTACAAAAAAAAAATTGCAGTTTTAAGAAAAGAACCAAAGGAATACATACAAAGTGAAAGCAAACAGAATGTAAAAAGGTGCTCAAAAGTCCACTGAAAACAAAAGGGTATTACATAAAACAACTGCAAATTTTTAGCTTACAAAAGCAAGTACTTTTTACTATTCTCAAAAGACTATTTTCTCTGCCAAAGTACCCAAAATAACACTAATTGACTCTAAAAACCAGAAAGGGTAAGAAAACTTACGGTCTGTCGTAAATAAACCGCCCTTCCGATACAAGAAGCCCGTATGCTGAAGATGGCGAATCACCTTGATTTGTTCAGAGTCAAGGGTATAAGGGTAAAAAGACTCATTCTTCAACGGTAATAAGTTCAAACTCGATAAGCGACAGATTGCTGTCTTCCTTCACGGAGAAAGCAGCTGGTTCGGTGACCTCAACACGACCCCATTTGTCCACCGCGAGTCTCATGGACCCTTTGTACATGTCGATTTTTGCGTTTCTAAGGATCACAGTGCTACCCTCCTTCATTGCATCCACTGGAAAAAAAGAGTTGCATATTTTGTGAGTTTTAATGTCTGTAGGTTAGTGTCGATATTCAGTAACGGCAAAATGCAACAAAGTTTGTCTTAAAGGCCGTTTACTGAATGCTTATCGGGTAACCTAGAATCTTACCCAGTAAGAAGCATAGCAAGGACCGAGAATCCTATTGGTAAGTAAGGGAGAAGACCCTTAGGGGCTGTTTGGTTGGCTTTCCATTAAGTCTTGTATGGATAAAGTTGTCGGTTAATGGGAAGGTTTTTGTTTGGAAGGGTTTTTTCATAGACAGGAGGGACGTTTTTTTAATTGGGAGGGGAAGGTTTGAAAAACATCACTTTCTACATCATTAAGCCCTACCAAACAATCATGTATAGCTGATCAAATAAGCTGTGAATCCCATTAAGCTCCTTATGCCGCTAAAAACAGGCCCTTACCTGGTAAGATGATGGCCAAGAATGTGACCAAATAACGTAAGCAAGAGTGGTGATTCTTATCGATTTGGTAAAAGGTAAACAGCCCCTAAGTTCTTATTTAGTAACAGGATTTTTTTCCTTAATCAATGTAACAAAGTTTCCAAATTTCCTATTTAATGTAACAAAGTTCTGAAATTTCTCAATTATTGTAAACAAAGTTTAAAATTTTCCTATTTAATGTAACCAAGTTCCAAAATTTCTCAACTACTGTAAACAGAGTTCCAAATTTTCCTTTCTGATGCAACACTTGTGACATGCATGTCAATTGTTTTGTCCACTTCATCGTAACTCTTTCCTAAACCCTTCGTAAACAGGTATCCACGTCAACAAATGTTACAAAATCAACATGTTACTAGTCAAAATTGGTGCAAAATAGGAAATTTTGATACTTCGTTACATCCAGTGAGAGAAATATTCTTTATTACACTAATAGAAACTAAACCAAAGTTTTCTGCATTTATACACATTTTCTCCTATCAAATAATCGCCCACACACAATAGTAATTGCAGGAAAAAGAATTGCAAAAATGGTATTTATGTGGTTTAACAATTTGGCAACACATACAGGGATTGCTAGGAGTTCATTATATTTCATGAATTTGGTACAAATATGTTGAAGAAAATGGCCCCTTTGAGAAAAAGAACCGGATTGCAAAAGGATAAAACAGGAAAACCGTCATGCTTCACTTTCATGACCATTTTCTTTAGAGTGTTCGACTTTTTGGGAAAAGCTGTAGACAGGTTTACACTTAAAACTAGGCTTCACATTCCAACACCAAATATTATCCAATAAGAACATGTGATATATGGTAGTAGACTACTTTTAGAAAAGATGGTAAAAATAAATCCAAAGATACAAAGATGACTGCATTTTATAAACATAATAACATATGCAAAAAGAAATCTCAAGCCAACCAAGGGTCTTCTTGTTAGCAACTTAATAAGCTTAATGGGATTCGCAGCTTATTCTGTCAATTATAGATAACTGTTTGGTGGTGGCTTAATGATATCAAAAGTGGCTCATTTAGTAAGCCTATAGGGGGAGCTTGATGCAAAAAGCCAAGTTTTTTTTTTCCAAAACTGTCCCTCCCAATTAAAAACACACTCCTTCCATCTATGACAAAACCCTCCCAAACAAAAACCTTCCCAATCAATATATACAGATTAATCCACACAGACATCCTCATCCATACAAAATTTAATGGAAAACCAACCAAACAGCCCCCAACAGCATGAAACCACCAGCTTAACCATTTATATCAATATATGGTCTCAGAGAAAATGGAAACCCCAGAAACCATGATTGAGTCGACATCGCCTGCAAAAGCCCGCTCTAATACCATGAATGAATACGTGGAAGCCATGATTCTCTCTTTAAAAGAGCCTTTACAGGAAAAGAGAAGACACCTACAGATATGGAAGGATCAGTTCGTGATTAACTGATGTGGGACACTAACACGCCCCCATAGAGAACTGAAGCTACATTGGGTGTTAGAGCCGGTGTCTAGCACCACCAAGGGCTCAGCAGGGGGTGCGTTAGAGTCTCACATCGGCTAGTCACGAACCCCTGAAGTATATTGTAGGGGTCTCCCCTCTCTGCTCTTTTAGAGAAAGAATCAGGGGTTCCACATATTCAATCAGGTTATTCCTGAGATCTTAAACAGCAAAACTGACATCTTTGTCCAGAATAAAGTAAAACCATATTAAGTTCATGAAAGAAAAATGGTAAAAATAACCAGCAACAAAATATAAGTGGTGAAACAAGCTTTGACAACCCCATAAACCTGCCAATTTCCAGAGTTTTTCATGATTTATGATTGAATTCTGGATAAGAATCATAAAATAAGGAAGAAGACGAGTCTAATGCCCATAACAACAACTTCATAGCAATAATTCACTATGTCCAGGGCTACGTTTCTTAAAGTCAAACAGAGAAGGTAACAACTAATAATTCATCTGAACTGTACAATAAAAACTATATTTTTGTTCAAAGTTGAGCAAGTAAAACGTACCTTGATCATTTCTAGCAGTAAAGACAATAATTCCAGTCTCGTCACCAACCAAACATTCAGCAAGACGCATATTGCGTCCTTGAGTCCCATTGCGACCTCGTGTCATTATCATCTTTGAACTAACCACTTTTACAGTGAGGTTAAGACCAATAGCACCAGGACGAAGTTGGTCAATCTTAGCGAAAGCTGGTTGCTGCTTATTTTGTTCGGCCATTTTCCAGAAACCCTACTCGATTTCAACAAGAAAAATATTTAAAAAATTCATCAGATTCATACTACATTGAAGAAATCTAATGCCATAGTTATGTAAAACACACTTTTGCAAAAGGACCAAATTAGTTGGGCAAACACTAAAGCACTACCATAACAACCTAATTTTTTTCCTTGAATCGGTAGAAGACAACAGTACTAATTGTAATTAGCAGCCACAAAAGGAATCACAAACTGTTTGTTAGCAGCTTAATGAGCTTAATGGGACTCTCAACTTATTCGGCTGCTATAGATGACTGTTCGGTAGTGGCTTGATGATACAGAAAGTGGCTTATTCAGTAAGCTTCTAGGGAGAGCTTTATGCAGAAAGCCAAGTTTTTATCTAAATGTCTCTCCCGGTTAAAAAAGCACGCTCCTTCCATCTATAAGAGAACTCTCTCAATCAAAAATCTTCCAAAAATCTAAAAAGACAAATTAATCCACATAGACAACTTTATCCATGTCGGACTTAATGAAAACCCAACAAACAGCCCCTAAATCACTATCATAACAACCTAAAATATTAATCTTTTCCTTGAATCTATAGAGACAACAGTACTAATTGTAATTGGCAGCCAACCAAGGAATTACAAACTCTTAGATGTATAGCTAAATGCAAGAACTAAAACTACAACCAAATTTTCAATTTTAGTATATGCATATGGAACAACACTGACAATCATATGTATGATAATCATCAATAAATAAGATTATGACCCTTGTTTGACATAAGTTACTAGTTAAACATCAGATCACATCTTCAGAGAACAAAAACTTTGACTTCTTCATGATTTGATTTAGCAGATGATAAAAGAATAAGAACATTAACAACCATGGTAACCATGTGCATAACCATCATTTCGAAAGATCGCACACAAATGCATGCATGAACATCAAAATAAATCTAGCAGCTTAAATCTACTCCATTCTTCTAACTTCTCTAAGTCAACCACACAAGATCAGGATCCAAAATCATAGAATATTCACAACAATCGACAATTGTGTAGGATCTTAACATTACAAAACAAACAGAAAGTAGCATCGCAAGTCGAATCTGATTGTACAGAATACAAATTGGAAGTCGATGAAAGCAGAAACCCAAAGATTGAACTTTGAACCTATAGATGATACTGAAAAAGGGGAAAAGCAAAGATCGACTGACCTGACTTTGCGACTAATGGATTTTCGGAAAACTCGAGGAGAAGGAGGTGAAGATCTGTCTAGGGATTGAAATTATGATCATGCCAGTACCAATCCCCTTTTATAGTTAGGGTAAAAACGAATATGGATCCCCAATCTGAGTACACACAAATAAAATACAAACCTAAATAAATGCTATATTTTTTTATTTATTTGGGCCGTTTACTGAATTTCTGTCCAATTATCGGTAAAATTTAACATTATCATTTATTTATATGAAAAGTGCTAACCTTGGTAGGAGGCATCATCCACACTTACCGTATAAGACTATCAGTCCTTGTCTTTGTTCTTACCGGCTAAAATTATTGGTCTTTGTTATATGCATCCGGTAAGATAATGTGACTTGTTAAGTGCTTACCGGGTAAACATTTGGAAAACGCACCTTATTCTTATGCATTATAATTATATCATCTACTACTAAGGGGGTGTTTGGGATTGGTTATGAATGATTTATTATGGGATGATGCCGATAATAAGAAATTTTTAGTATTTGGATTGGGAAAAAAAATACTTATACCGGTTTGGCACCGGTAGTGAGAAGTTTTTGATAAGTTACTTCATTATAACTTATTAACTTATTTTGATGTGGTACAGGTAATAAGAAATTTCTAGCGTTTGGATGGGGAAACAAAAGAAATAATTATCGATTTATTATTTTTTGGTATCGCTATAAGCTAATCCAAATACTTTTTATAAAACTCTGATTTGACACCACGTAAATTGTTTTAAATAAGCAATCTCAAACACTCCCTAAATAAAACAAAAAGCTACTTTTGGATTTACATTTGTCATATATAAAATATTATATTATTAAAAGAATTATCAAAATCATTTTTTTTTTCGTTACCCATGCACAAACCGATGTCATCTTATCATCCCCTGGTTTCCGCTCATCGATTTCTATTTCGAGTTTATTGGTTCATTGATCACAGGTAAATTAGTCGGTTTCAGACTCAATGGTCCAATGGTTAGGGAGTTGTTTGGTTGGTTTTTCATTAAGTCACGTACGAGTAAAGTTGTTTATTTGAATTGATATGTTTGTATGGACCGTGAATGTTTTGTTTGTGAGATTCTTTTATAGATAAAAGGAGCGCGTTCTTTTAACTGGAATGAGCATATTTGGAAAAAACCTGACTTTCTGCATTAAGCTCCCCTCTTAAAACTTACTAAATAAGTCACTTTCTATATCATCAATGGTAGTGGTCTTCTTCCGGAAGTAGTAGTGTTGTCATGGAACATTAATTAGAATTCGTGATATCATATTGTTGTCGTGATTCCATCAGACAGAGTTACGGTTTTTATGATTATTTCAAAAACTGCATTAATATAATTGCTATATAAAGTAACGGTCTAGTCATTTTTGTCCCCGCATGTTCGTATTAAGGATTTTATTGTGACCATACAGCTTTTTCGATACCAATAGTTTTTTGATTGATTCTTATCATTGCTAATTCATGTTTACAGCCTTTTTGTTGTTTCTATGTAAACCTATTTGTATGCACATATACATACATATCGAGTATGTATGAGTGCACACACTAAAATGAGTAGAGCCGTTTATTAAAACTTATTCGGGTAAGCACTTATCAAGTCACATTACCTTACTGGATGAATATGGTAAAGACCAATAATTTTACCGGTAAGAGCAAGGCAAGGTCCAAGAGTTTTATCGGTAAGTTAGGGTGACGACTCTTACCACGGTTAGTGCTTATCAAGGTAAATTGTTGTACAAGATGCCGTTTTTGTTGAGTAAAATCTGACCCGATAAGTAAGTGATAGTGTGAAATTTTGCCGGCAAGCGCTTACCGGATAAGTGTTTAGTAAACAAACCCTAAGACAAAAATGTTGAAGATGTGCGAATAAAGTACTGTATATGAATGTTTGGTAAAAAAACGTTGGTTCACATATGCATCTTCGTACATGAATAATTAGTAAATATGTAGATAAATTAAATATATATGGTTCACATATTCCTCTTCAAACAGTTGTTTTTCAGATTTACCATTAAATCACATGTGAATCATTTATCTACATATTCTCAACCTTTTTATTTATCTGATTTAAACCATCCATATACATATGTGTTATTCGTGTTTCGGAAGAAGGGAAAAGTAAGATATGCATATATTTAGGTTTAGTAGAAGGGTATTTGCATAATGCAGTGACATATATCTCAATTTCAATGTTTCATTTTATTTTTTTGGTCTTTTTCGATGTTATAATACGAATTTATGTGGTTTTGAACAAACAATAATGTTTTTCTTAATAAAATATAAAATTTGAAGATATCGTAAAAAATAAAAATATATATATAAAACTTCTCATTTTTTTTTGTGTAATTTATTTATTCTATTTTAATTTAATTCAGGTTTAATGACAAAATAGTTTATTTTTGGTTTAATAATATAATTATTGTAAAAATAATAACTAAGTATTTTGTTATAACTCAATTATTATCCTAATTGTATTTTAGATTTTATATTTAAAATTGTATTTGATTATATTTATCTACAGTTAGTTACACAAATTCAAACATGGAGCTTAATAAGCTGTACTTACGCATAATTTACTTGTAGTCTTGAATTTTAAGTAATACGCATCAATAAGCAGTACTTCATGTATAAAAAATGATTTTTAAGAATTTTTATCAAATGTTTATAATATAATATAGAAAAAGTATTGGACCATGGTAGTCCTGAAAGGCTGAGATTAGTCAATTCACATAGCAGGTTCGATAAATAAAAAGACATTGGGCCAATGTATCTCTATTGAATTTTAAGTATTCACCAAACCTATAAGAAGTTGGCCCATTAGTGTTAGGTGATTTTGGCCCAATAACCAAAAAACCCAAATTCTAAAAGTGAAAAGTAAAATATATGTTATAATTTTAAACTCCATATTTATATTTTAATTTAAAATAAATATTCATTTTCAATGGTAAGGGTTTATTTTTCTATAACTATCCCTAAATATGAAAGGGAGATTTTTTTTTTTTATATATATATTACTAAGAGTAAAATCATACTCTAGTTGGTAATAATTATATATTTACAAAGCTGTGTTTTTTTACTGCAAACATTTATTCTGGAACAGATTGAATGATAACCTAATGTTGTTTTTTCACTGTAAACATTTATTCTGAACATAATGAATGATAACCTAATACTGATCATATTAAAAATCAATGTCATTTGCTCAAAATAGGATTTCAAAATTTTGTTACGAAGTCTATAAGAACAGGATAAGATGTTAAGAAAAAAAAATCATTTTATTAAATATTTATTATTCAAGTTACATCGATTTTAATATTATTTAGTATTAAGTTGTTATATTTTAATTTATATGGATAAAATTTGATAAATATTTTTACAAAAAACGACCTTATCAATTTCATAGGATTTAGAGAAAATTATATAAGGTTTTTTTATTCGGATAAAAAGTTGATTACCGACAATATTAACCGGTTTCATATGGAATCTACCTCCAAAGACACCAATATGAGGGACATTTTTTGGCCCAGTCAACGACTAAGGCTGACAAAGGGTCCTGAGATTAAGGATGGTGATTTGCCCCAACTCGATGGGGAACCCGGCCCGAACAGGGGGGGGGGATTCCCTGCTAAAACAGGTCTTAGGACCAGGGATCCCCGGTAGACTTAAATCGGGGCCGGAGGCTGTTACTCAAACAGGGGTTGAGACCGGGGCCAAGGATCCCCGGTAGACTCAAACTAACGGATATTATTCATAAGATTTGACCGGGGACGGAATGTTAATCCCCGTATCCGCCGGGGATCGGGGCCAGGGCTGGGGGCTGTTACTAAAAACTGGGGCGGGACCGGGGATTACAATCCCCTCCCCGTTGCCTTGCCTACCTGGGATCAAACCCGAGACATGTTTTACATTTTTAATGCACGATTTAATCTAATACTGACATAAATAAGGGTGCATATAACATTCTAGAATTGTATATGTATGTCCTTTAATGCCAATAAAAGCAAATAAACACTGTATAAGCTTGCGGTAACAAAAATACATGTATGACGATAACATTAATCAGATAAAAACGAGGTATTACGTATAAAACACCGTTATTCAAATGGAAAAAAAGACAGATACAATTGAACTCAAGACAGATATAACAAAAACTTTACAAATTTGATGCAAAGCAAGACTGTGAATGCTTTATGCAAATATAAGTTATTGAAAACATGTAGGAGTAGGGTTTTGTTATGTGGTGGTGGAAATGAAAGTCATTGAAAGAGAGAAGGTGAAATGGCAAAATCAAGATTCCACAGGTCAAAAGCTCCCTTCACAAAATCATAGTGTGCTCCCTTGATTGAAACTTGTTTGTTCACCACAGCTTCTCTTACAAAAGGATATGTCAAAAGGTTCCCCAATGATACATTCACAGCCTCCTGCATTTATTTGTTGCACAAATCATGAATCGGTTAATTACTAGTGAAAATATCTGAAATCCATATTACTCTTTAAAAAAGTCGTTAGGGAGAGAAGGGAGACTGTAACACATATTAAAAAGAAATTATCTGAATCTAGCCGATATGAGATTTCAACATGTCCTCTAATGAGGCTAATCGGGTATAAATGCCAAGACCCTAAGCAGGATACGGTGGCATGGGCCACCTTTTCGTTCCTCCGCCATATTGTAAAAAAATTATAGGGTCGTGAAAGGTGTCACCGTATCATTTTTTTTATGCAACCATATATATTTTGAAACTATAATGATGACACAAGTTTTCTTAGTTTGTGTCATTTTCCTTAGTTTTTAGCTTTTAACTTTAAGATTTATTATGTTTCTGAAACAATTTGCAATAAAAGACTCAAACATAAAACCTTTCATATGAAAAACACAGAACTGACCAATAGAACAATGATGATCTTGTGAATAATTTTTTTTTATCCATATCTTTGTTTCTTATAGTCAAATAAGGCCACCACTTGAAAAAAACAAGGTCCGCCTCTACCCTTTCGGATAGAAGATATTGAATCTGATACCATGTGAAGATATGCGAAATTCCATCAAATTACTTTCCAAAAAAGTTTTTAAGGAGAGAGTAGATATATTCCAACATATATTGAGCAAAATAAGTGCAAATCTAGCCGATGTGGATTCCAACATCATTTACAACAAGTCCATCAGTTTTGTTAGATTGTGTTTGGTAGATGAGACTGGACTTGATTGAAAAAAACAAGACAAGACTCATTGTTCTATGTTTGACACAACATGAGACATGGACTAGATGAGACAAAACAGGTGGAAAAAACTAAAAAAATATCAATCGACAATTTACCCTCGTTTTATATAAACCTAATATGATATTTGCTTTTAACGGTCATAACCGTCTGCTACAACCACCATCAACTATATTTTCTTTATTTTATATTTTTCTATTGCTTAAATTATGAAAAAGTTGGGTAGTTTGGTGTGAGATGCATACCTTCTCACAATTGGTACATTGATCTGTAAAATCCATGTCATCACTGCAATCTGTTTTCACCTTGCTCTTTGCAGGCAAACAGATTTTGACCCATTGCTCTATGAAGTGGCTGCATGCCCGTTCAATTTGCAAACAAATATAAGTCGTTAGTTTCTATTCTTTTACAACACAGACAAACCACAAACTTGTTGTATTATTGTAGATAAAATATAATAAAAAATATTAAGAGCATTTTTAATATATTTTTTAAAATAAAAAATAAAAATTCAAATTTTACATATTTCCCAAAATTCGAAATCTCTAAAAAAAATCTACCTTCAACTTTAATAACTTTTTTTAAAGATCACAATATTAATTATAGAGAAATTAGCTTAAATGACCATTTCCCTCATTAAAATTGGTCTCCTAACCATTTCTCTCTTGATTTGATCCAAATGTCACTACATTCACAATACCTAGTTTAACGTCGCAATTGCGGACATGGCCGTCGCAATTGCATATTTGTGTTGAATTTTTGGTTTTTAGCTATTGCAGACCTCAATATTGCGGAAGTATGACATTTAGGTCAACCCGGGAAAAAAATAGTTAGGAGGCCATTTGAATGAGGAAAATGATCATTTAACTCAAGGACTTTTAATTATATTATTGAAATATTATATATATTTAATAACATAATATCTATGTCTTCCAAACATTTAATTTTAAAGTTTTTTACTGGTGAGAATATAATAAAAAAATATTTCTCTCTCATGTAATTATCACATGGGAGTTTTCTAAATATGAAGAATTTCACACACTCTCTCCTACTTTCTCCATTTGAAGAGTATGTGGCAAAAAAAAAACTCATCAATTTTTAAGTATTCATTTTTCTCCATTTTAAAGAAAATGTTAAAAAGTTCTAAGAGCATATCCAATGCAAAGTTTTTATAAGCAAAATGTGTAGCTTTTTATAAGAAACAACACTGTAGTTCTCATAAAAACCTCGCCTTTTTTGAATTCTTGTACCATAACCTTGATTCTTACCTTGAAATTGATGTGAAATAACAATTTGTTAGGTTTTTCATATGTTTTCTTGACTTTTATAACCAATATAATAATTAATATATATATATATTTGCTTAACTTATATTATACATGGAACCCACAAAATAAGTTCGTATAAGAACTACCATTGTTGGAGTTCTATACTTTCTTCGTCCCGAAAGAAATGTCTATAATAAAAATAACACACAATTTTAAAATTGTATAATTATTACAATTTCTAATTACCCAAAGACAACTTTAATCTTAGAGACAATTTTTCTTCATCTTATAATTAAAGATAGAAGTAAATAACAACACTTAAGTTAATTAACTTAACGAGTATAAAATAACTTAACAAAAAAATATAAAAGATAAGTTTTTATAAAGACATCAGTTGAAAATGATGTAAATAGTAACTTACGTGGAAGTGGGTCCCTCGTCAGGGAATGACATGAGTCCTTTAATCCCACCACAACAGCTGTGTCCGATGACTACAATATGCTCCACCTGAATGAAAGTACAACCATGGGTACGTACAGAATGGTGAAGGGGATATTTTTTTTCAACAAAAATAAAATGAAATTATGAGTTACAGCAGATGAATATTGATCCTCCCAAAGTGCTGGATTGACCAACGACTTTTAAGTGGTCCATGACAGAGAAAATTTAATGCAAAGCAAAGTTGTACTTAGATTTAAAAGGACAGGTAACAAAGTGGAGCCTCGTTCTATTATTGTAACCGAACCGTTTAAGGGAAGCTTTCTAGGCTAAGAATTTCCTTTTTTTCTTCTTTTTTCTTTTTAGAGTAAATTAAGTTTTCATGTGGTTTGTTAAAGTTACGATTTTTGTCTATGTGGTTTAAAAATTGTGATTTTCGTCCTTATTATTTACAATTTATTGTTGTTTCAGTCCCTGTGGTTTATAATTTTTTATTGTTTTGGCCGTTTGTATTTAAAATATGAATTAGTTCATGAACAAAAATAATAATTGCAAATTATAAAAAATAAAAATCATAATTTTTAAGTTAGCTTATGATCATCCAAACATGTACCTAAAATATAAGTTAGTAAGTTAGCTTATATTTTACCAAATAATGCCTAAATGGAAGAAGAAAGAAAAATAGTTTTATAGTATTAAAATACTTTAATGATATATTAATGTTAAAAATATCTATAATAGACGCTTGAAGTTAAATATTAGTTTATGAGATTTTGACTTTGGTTTCTCAATTTTGAAAAAAGCATGGGAAAATGTTGAATATGTTTTTAAAGAGGCATCACAATGAAAGTTATTGTAAGAAAAAAAATAAGTTCTTATAAGAGGGGTCGTTCATCAAACACTTACCAAGTAAGCGTTTACCGGCGAGTGTCATAACTCTCGTTTATCTTGTGGGTTATCATTCTCGGTCATCAAAATAGACTAATGATAAACGTTTATAACCCAGTAAGCGTTTACCGTCTCATAGTCATCACTCTCATTTACTAGGTAAGACTCTTGATCATTGTCTTCTTTCTTATCGGGTCAAATTCTCTGTCTTTGTTATGTTCACCCGGTGAGGTAATTGAACCCGTAAGCGCTTACTACCATAAGTGTTTAATAAACGGCCCCTTAGTGTATTATGAAAATATATAGTGAAATCTTACTTTTGTGTGTGTGTGTATGTATATATATATATATATATATATATATATATATATATATATATATATGTATGTATATATATAGAGAGAGAGAAATGTGAGTTATTATGTAATCCTTACAACCAAATAAGAGTGTCCATTTGGTCATCAAGGATTACCATTTGATATGTTGTAACTACCTTTAATTAGGAAAAAAATTTTATGGTGGATAGGTGGTGATCGGTTGTATAATCTAGAAGAGTTGTATATGAATGCCCCTCTATCTCTATATATAAATAAATAAATATATTTTAAGGCATATAATTTGTCCTACATAGTAAGAGTGATATATAAGTTCTAAACATCTTATTGAATTTTTTACGACATTAGATGAGCTAAGAAATATTTGGGCTTGTTGTGTGGAATTTTACACATATATTAAATGGTCAAAAGATAGCATTAGGACGGGAAAGAATGTTGTTTATATAGGGGTTTTCTTGGAATCTGGTTTAAATAAAATCTAATTTCAGTTTTCCTTTATCCAAATCAGTTATAGACACAAATCTATATGTGTGTGTATTCTCTCAACATTTTAATTTCTCTTAATCCTCTCCTCTTCATATAACTTTTTGCATAAGTGTCCATTGAAGAACACGTTTAGTTGTTTGAATATGTCTTATTAATTAAGTAATCCAGAGAAACCCAAACAACTTTGATAGCGGGGGCTAATAATATCCTAAAGACAGTGATAAATCATGTCCTAATCATTGTCTTCGCTCTACTTTTCTTCCTTTATTATCTTATTTTCTAACAAAAAAAAAACGTACTAAAGTAAAATTCTTATAGAATCATTCTGAAAAAATGCTCGTAGTACCTTATCTTTGATTAAAAAGTCTATCTTTCTGAAATTCAGATATGGATTGATCTCCAAATTTATAGACAACTAGACTTACTCAATAATTTGGATACCCTTTAACCCATGAGTTCTTTTTGACTCATAAGCATATATGATGAGCATATTCCTAAATATGGGACTAAAAAGAGGTATGTGAAGTGGGAGTTGGCCAATTGTCTCCATTCTACACCACCCCATCCTACCACCACGGAAACCTCCTTTACTAAAAGGCGACAAACCCAACTACCACTAAATGGAATAAAGTTAGGGTCCATAAGGCACGTCTTTTTCTCATATTTAATGGTCATTTCTTTGACTTTATAGCCTTTAAAATATACTGCTTTTCTTAATTTCAAGAGTAAATTACAAATTTCAGCATTTATAATTATATAGAAATTATGGATTGGATCCTCCCGACAAAATAATCATATTAATAGTTAACGTAGTTTCTCTTTGTTAGAAATTGGGTCTATTGTCATAATTCTACTAATGGTTACTTTGTTAAATCAATGAAACTTTTGCCTTTTGTCTTTTCTTTTTCATTTTTATTTAAAAATAATGATAGAGATATATAGTTTGTATTAGATATCTATATTATATTATAAAATATTCGACAAAAACTTTTTAAAACCATTTTTTATGCATTAAGTACTGTTTATTGATGCATATTACTTAAAATTCAAAATTACAAGTAAATTGTGTGTATCTACAACTTATTAAAGCTTTATGTTTGAATTCATGTAACTAATTGCAAATAAACATAATCAAATACTGGATAGGTATCTTATATCAAATATAAAAAATCTAAAATATATTTAAGATAATTATTGAATTCTAATAAAATATTTATTCTTATTTTTATATTATTAAACCAAAAATAAATGACATCATTATTAAATTTAAATTATAATATGAACTTTAATCAAAGAAATTACACAAAAAAAACTTTTAAATATTTAATTTAATACTAAAATTGATACATTTAAAAAAAAAAGTATGATACTTTCAAAATTATATTTTATTCAAAAATGAAAAACATTTATCGATTTTTCAGTATCACATAAAATCGTATTATAGCATCGACGAAGAAAGAATAAAACGAAACACTAAAATCAAGATATATCTCGCTGCATTGCATGACTGCTCTTCTAGTAATTTATTATATATAATTTTAATTTCTTAAAAGAGAAAAGTGAAAAATTATAATATTCTTGATTTAACGGGTATTTTTTAATATAAACTATATAACTTTATTATCTTTTAAATAAAAAGAAAATAAAAAATGTAAGAAGACAAAAATTTCCTTGATTTAACGGAATAACGATTAGTAGAGTTAAAGCAAGGAACCAATCCGCAACAAAAGTGAAACTACGGTGTCATAGATGTAATTATTTTGTAAGGGGACCTAATCCGTAATTCCTATATAACCATAGGGGCTAAATCTGTAATTTACTCTAAATTCAATGTAGATAATTATCATGTTGATAGTAAGGAGATAATAGCTTTTACTTTTCAATAAATATAAAAAGTTGAATCTAGTTACTGTGCATGAAGATTTATAAAATTCAATGGGGTTTCAAAATCACCTTTAGATGCAGTACTGCATATTCAACCGCTGCCCCCACTCCTGAGTGTTTCACCTGCATTTGTCAACAAAGCAATAAGCAATCCGACAATTATTAAGCCATGTATATATATCAACTATTATTTAAAGTAACCACTTCTAATTTCAAGTCAGATTAAAGTCAACTGTTTTATTTTCACACTTCTTATTGTATTTGTTGGAATAGAAAAGTTGGCCAAAACCATCGGAATGTTTTTTTTGAAATTTTCAATTACATGTTTAAATCAAGAAATCTATAATTATAACCATGCCATTTTGGTTAAATCAACTAAGGGGATGTTTGTTAGCGGCTTAATGAGCTTAATGGAGACTCACAATTTATTCAGTCAGTTATACATGACTGTTTGTTATTGGCTTAATGATATAAAGTGACTTTCAGTATTCATCTAAGAATAAACTTTATATATGCAAAAAACCAATTTTGTTTAAAACCAGCCATTTCCAGTTAAAAAACAAGCTTTCTACCAAATAAAACATTCACAATCTATACAAACATCTTTCTCTATATAGATAGCTTTATCCATATATAACTTAATTGAAAACCAACTAAACAATTCTTAAGATAAATGGTCAATTAGATATAAGAAGACAAGGAGTAAACAATTTGATGTAAATAACGTTAATAATCTCAATCATTAATTATAATGGTTTATGTTAGCTAATTTGATTAAAATTAGATGAAAGTGATGCAACTAATTTGATTGTAATTAGAGACTAATAAAAAAAATTATACATATACTAAAATGATGCAACTGATTTGATTACGAGTATTACATAAGAAGGAAGAAAAATACTCTTTTTTCATATTAAAATTGCAATATTTAATTTTACATATAATTCAAATATCATTAAATTATTTGTCAAATATTTAAAATAATTGTCGATGAAATGAAAATACCGAAAAGGGATGGTGGGAGGCTGAGAGCTATTCAACACTTCTATTTTCAAGGGTTTTTTTATTTAGGTTTCTCGTTTGAATTTTGACCATTATTTACTGAATTAAAATATGATTGTGGATTAACGTTCCAATTAATTAGGAAAGGAGGCACGTATATCCTGACCATGTGCTAGATAACATATTACCATGTTAGCAATTATATGCTTGAAAGATGCTTATGAGTTTGACTTCAAATAAATATGATACGATTAATTAATTAGCAATGGCTTATACATTTTCTTGATTTTCTAAAAGAAAATGAATTAATAATAGAGTTTGAAAGATGTACCGTATCATAAGGAGGAACCATGTTAGCGATGTTTCTAACCACAAAGGCTTCGCCTGGTTGGAAATCCAGGATGTGTGATGGACAAACTCGTGAATCCGAACAAGCAAACACCAAGAACTGCATTAAAGTTTAACTAAGAATCAAATTTCAAAACATAAGTGCAGCACATTTTTTATATGAAAGTCGTTTTAATATGTTTTTCATCATTTTTGGTTAACGTGATTCATTCAGATGGGTGAAAAGATAAGATGTATGAGTAGATCGGACATTTTTAATTGATTTATAAAATAAAATAAGACTCAGACTGAAATAAATTTGCATACATAAATAGCACTTATATTTTTTAATTACATCATTTAACATTTCAATATTTTTTAAAATATATAAAAATATGATTAAGATCTTACCTTAAGAACTAGATGATACTAGATAAAATGATAACTAATGTTGCGTTTATAGGTCATTTTAGTGCCAATTAGTTAGCTAGCATACTTGTATAAGTTTACAAGTTATGACACGATTTGACTATAAGAAGAAAAAAATATATGAAAACTTTTCATAATATTGTTATAGATCTGTTAGTTGGTTTATTGTCTTGCACGAAAAAAAACCCGTGTTCAAACTTTATCTTTGAAATTTAAAAAAAAACATAAAAGCAATATAAAAATCCCCAAAATTTAAATTGAAAAGCAAGAAATTTGTTAAAACATGACTTAAAACCTTGGGCTTTTTGTACAAAGGCATCAAGATCAACCATCTATACCCTTACAAACTTGTGTCATTGGTTTAGTTTTAAAAAAATACAAGGACATCTAATGAAACGATATGTTGACATGTAAACGTAATTTTTATCTATTAGAACGGAATCATGAATTAATGGCCCATGCCACCGAATTCCTCCGTGTAGTTCCCTCATTGGTGGCGATCGATTTTGAAACGAAGACCAAAGTCACCAAACATGAGGGGGAAAGAGGAGTGACCTACTGACCTTGGGGCTTTGGCTTTTGGCAAGCTCACTATACAAAGTGGGGTTTGTTCTGCAAAAAAAAAATGCAGGAAACAGTTGTGAGGATCAAGTGACAGATAAGGATGTATATTTTTGGGACAAATCCCATTTTTAGTGCAGAAAAAAAAATCAAATGGGATATAATTTAAGGAATAAAAATTAGAACATACCATATAAAATAATCCTATGAAATATAAGATACATCTTTGACTTTAAGAATACAATTTAATTACATCAAAGAGAAAATTATTCTAATTAGCAATCCTCATTAAAACTTATCCAAAAATGCAAATTGACATACACAAGAAAAAAAAAAATAGTCATGCAACATTAAATATTATTTCACTATTTTTGATGCCAGTACAACAATTTAAGTTGCTGTTTGGTTCTATCACAGGAATAAAAATGACAGAAAATTAAAACGAGAATGAATTTCATTCTCTCCGGTCTAACAAAAAATGAAAATTTATTTTTGAGAAATCAACTCATTATATTATATAAAATTAAACAGTTTTTTTTTTCAATTTTATTAGTTACTGTTTAATATGTCTGACCAAACATTTCTTTTACAATAAATACCTATTTGAAATAAAATAATTTATTAATAGTTGAAACTAACACTCTCTTTTCTCAAAAGTCAAACATGAAGACAAATAGAAGCATGATAAAGGAGAAATAATATTGCCCTATGTTTTTGACATCGAACCTAATAATTTAAAACTTGAAAATTCAATTGCAAAACATCTAGAATAATTAGTTTCATATATGATGATTCATGTTATCAATAATTTGTATATAATATGCTTCTCTCTCGGGTGTTGTTTTATTTTTATGATAAACTAATGAATTTAAGGCCGGATGAAAACAAAATGGAATCAATAATAGTGTTACAATTAAAATATAGAAACAGCAGTACAGTTTTCCAACAATAGAAAAATGAAGTAGATTATGTGCAGAAATGAGGAGCAATGATTTTGGTACCCTAAAAGATACAACACAGACGTACTCGTATTTCTCTTTCTTAAAGCGAGCGAACCCGTTCTGGATCCTCTCCACCGGGTTAAATTCATTGGTTTCTGTTGCCTCCAACTCTGCCGTAAGTTGTTTGATCTTTGCGGCCGCGACCGATTCAAGGTCACTATTCTGACTGTGAAACCGTCAAATATCACGGCGTTAGTATCGACGGAAAATTCGTCAGGCCGTCAGAGAAAGTTTGCAAAGAACTAGGGATTTGAACCCGTACGATGACGGTTCGATGACGGCAGCTATAATGGTCAACCGTTCGTTGATGAAATCGAAACATTAATTTAATTAATTGAATTAACAATTCGAGGTTCATAAACAGGACAATTCCGATCCATTGGTTCACGAGTTAGAAACAACTGTCCATCAATGATCATCAGGAATTCGAAGGGACTCTGGACTCAGTCATATATTCAAAAAAATACAATTACCTTAGAAGCTTCTTCAGTCCTTCAATGGCGTCGTCGCATGTGTAACCATTAGTTGCCATATCTTCCACAACCTGAGAATTTCACGAAATCCAGCGAGAGAAAGCAAATTCCATCAAATTAATGTACAATTAACATGTAAAACACTTTCAATTATACATCTAATATCAGATCGGATTCATAACTATATGTTTGTCATTAGATCATATCTCGATCGATGAATGATCGGAAAACTAAAAGAAGATGAAACAGAAATCCATAACCACCGACGATCAGAACAAATGCAAATTAATGTCGTAAATGAATGAATTCTGATGATGAATTTGTTGATTTGGAGTTGCATAAACCTTGTTAATGCGGATTAAAGGCGTGACAGGTGTTTATGTGCGGGTGCAAAATCAGCTGCTGATGAACAGGAGAAGGGTATCGGGCCAGCCACGTCTGTGTGAGGCCTGAGGATAAAGTACGGCTCTATTTATAACATAATGAACTAACCATGGTTAGACTTTCGATGCATTTATATGACATTTCAGAGAAAAAATAGTTCTTTTTCAATCCACTTTTCAAGGGACATAAAATATGACTATTTGGTTGTTTCTCATTGAATATTAAAACAAATTACATGAAAAAGTAATATATTTTAACTTGAATTTTATTTTGGATGATGCATTTTTAAAACTTTTATTTTGGTATCTAAGATGTAAAATTTTAAATGTTTAAGTACACGGGTAATGTTGCAACCGGTTACCAGGATACTTAAATTTTTGAAACTTTACATCTTAGATACCAAAATATAAGTTTTGGTAGTACGTTAGCCAAAATAGGAATCAAGTTAAAGTATGTTATTTTTTCATGCAATTTGCCCTAAATTTATCTAAATCAAATTATCCGTGTGTGTGTATATGTATAAGTTTTTTATTTGATAGGGTTTTTAATCGATGGAAGGATCGTTTTTTTCAATTGGGCGAGATAAGTTTGGGAAAAAGTTGACCTTTTGCATAAAACTCGTACTATAAGCTTACTGAATAAGTCAATTTCTATATCATTAAGCCACTAGTAAATAGTCATGTATAACTGACTGAATAAAGTTCAAGTGTCATTAAGCCGCTACTTTAGTGGCTCAAAATATAATCGAACAAAAACTTGTTTGACATGATATAACGGGATTGATTTTTTGTCCCAAAGAAATAGGTACAACAAAAATCGGATAAATTATATAAAATTGGTAAATTACTAAACTACATATGTCAAATTAAAAACTGTACACCGTCCCATCATTTTTTCATCCACTCTCGATTATCTAGTCTTGCTCAATTCAATCATATCCAATTATTTCTGTTTACCAAACACACTATAGTTATGAGATTCTTACATGATATTTCCTGTATATGAGCCATTGATCGTATCGAGACTGGTTATAAATGACCATGGGACCAGTGCAAACTCATAGTCTCAGGATTTATGTAATCAAGCCATGAAAATCTGTTATAACAAGTTAGATAATATACGTGTGGGACCAAGTGAAAATTATTATTTGATGGGTCTAAAGTTAGATATATTATTTTAAGATATATGTCTACTTACTGTATATGTATTGTCATGATATTATCAGTATTACAATATTACATATTTTATTACAAGATTAACATTGTGAAAACGATAACAGTATTTGCAGGTTTAGACTTTAAAGACTCGTAATTGAAGAAAGGGATTACACCAGTACACGGGATTAAGGACTAGTTGGACAAAAGGACTAGCTTCAGTATTTTTAATTCTTGTTATGCTTCTTATGGGGCAAAATTTTGTGTTTGCGATGCTCATACGAAAGGTAATTCAGTGACATACGTTAAGTGTTTACCTGATAAATGTTTCATAGACAACTCCTTAAAACAAAGAGATATATATACTTTTACCATAAAATGTGTATTGTTATTATTAGAGTGAAGTTCAATTTTGGTCCCTAATCTTTGTAATTTTCAACAGAGATTGTCCCTAAATTTTGAAAACTCATATTTAGTCCATCACGTTTGTCGATTCTAAACAGTTTTGGTCTCTCTATCTAACAATCTTCAACTTATTTCATGAAGTCCAATTAAATAAGGGGCATTTTAGTCATTTTTCCTATTTTCTCAATGTTATATTAAAATAAAATAAAAAAATTTTAAATTTTCAATTATAACTTGTAAAAGAAAAAAAAAGAAATAAAAAAAAAGTATAACCATCGTCCTTCGTTTTTCCTTCTTTTTTACAATTCAAAATTAAAAACATAGTATATTTTTTTTTCTATTTAAATATAATAAAAAAGACTAAAATACCCCTCATTTAATTTGACTTAACAAAAAGAGCTAACGACCATTACACAAAAGAACTAAAACCGTTGAAATTAAGGGGGTGTTTGGGATTGCTTATTTGAAACAACTTATACTTTTTTTTACAAAAACACTTCTCAACTTATTATAAGTCAGAAGAGTTTAACTTATTCAAAAAGCTCCTTATTACCGGTTTGACACCGGTATAAATTGTTTATCAAAACACTCAAAAGTGTTTATTACCGGTGTTACACCAAAATAAGTCAATAAGTTGTTTTTATAAACAATTCCAAACACCCTCTAAAAAATATGAATGATCAAATACAAGTTTTTAAAATTGAAGAACGATATTCGTTAACAATTACAAACATTAGGGACTAAAATTAAACTTCCAGACGGTGGAAGCAATGAGATAATAAAAAAAAAAAACAAAAACAAAAGATTGAACGCGGTTTTAGAGGAGGAGGAAAGAGAATAAAAGAAGGTGGTTAGGTCGTTGGCTGAGGGCGGTGGGGTCTCTATGGACTCGATTGGGCGCACACCAACCTTGGCCGGCTCGCGGATTATGCGCTCCCTATTTGATTCCTTTTTCCGTTTATTGGAAAGGTTACGGTTATGACTATGACCGCCCCATCTTTTCCCATGGCTCTATCTTCCGTCTAACACACTAAAAAACGTACAATAATGTTTATTTTATTTATTAAATTTTTTAAACAATAATTTCAATAAATAAATAATCTATCAAAAATATATTAATAGATAATTACAAAGATACTTACGTAATACAACGGGATACATTTCGATTTCTAAAGTTTTGTGTTATTCTGTCTTCGTCGATGTTATAATACGATTTTATGTGGTACTGTAAAACGACAATTTTTTTATTTTTTTGAATAAAATATAAATTTGAAAGTATCGTAAAATTTAAAAAAAAAATATATTGGTTTTAGTATAAAATTAAATATTTAAAAGTTTTTGTTTTTTTTTTAATTTATTTTTTTATTATAATTTAATTTAGATTTAATAATGATGTCATTCATTTTTAGTTTAATATTTTTTTTATGAAGATAATAGTTAGTAAATTGTTAGAATTCAGCAATTATCTTAAATATATTTTACAATTTTTATATTTAAATGAGATACCTATCCACTATTTGATTATGTTTATCTGTAGTTAGTTACACGAATTCAAATATAGAGCTTTAATAAGTAGTACATACGTACAATCTACTTGTAATTTTGAATTTTAGGTAATCTGCATCAATAAACAGTACTTAATGCATAAAAAATGGTTTTTAAAAGTTTTTGTTAAATGTTCTATAATATAGTATAGATATTAAATTCTAAAAAAACATAGTACGATATTCAATGTAAATAACAAGTCATTTTTAAAGGGTGAAATCAAATTTGGGTTGTCGGTAAGAAAAGTAAGAATGGATCTTCATATTTGGATCAATTCAATTGAAAATTAACAGTAATGAGATACATCGAGATGTACGAAATTAATTTTCGTATCAAACACAATTCAAGGATTCATATCATTTCTTACGCTTCTCACTAAAACTCATATTTTTCACATGGTCATTCGTCTATCTTACACAAATATTGAAAGTGTATATTTTTTACTTTTAATTTCAAAAAAAGTAAACTACAGATTCGGTTTCTGAGATTTGTCGAAAATAACACTTTTCGTCCCTGTAGTTTGAAATTACAAGAATGTTGTCGTGGTTTGTAAAAACGTTCAGATTTGGTCCATTTCTATATCAGCCATTAAAAATTTCGGTTTGTGAGGGGCATTTTTGTCATTTATCATTTTTTTTGTCTTTTATCCAATCAAGATTGATTTTATGATTTGGCCATGTGGTTAATATGTCTCTTATTTAAAAAAAATTAACGACCATTAGATAGAAAATCAAATCCTAACATTTTCACAAACCATCGTGACCATCTTGTAATTTCAAATCTACAACGAAAAAACAGTGCTATTTATGACAAACTGTAGGAAGCAATTTTGTAGTTTACTCTTATAAAAACTTTCAACAATATGTTTACATTTATTAAAATTTCAAATTATATCTATATATTTTTTACATCAAGTTAAAAGGTTTTATCATTAAATATCTATACTGTATTATAAACCATTTGACAAAACTTTAGAAACCATTTTTATGTATAAAATAGTGTTTATTAATACATATAACTTAAAATTCAAAATTCAAAATAAAATATGCATAAATACAGCTTATTAAAGCTTTATGCTTGATCCGTGTAACTAACAACATATAAATATAATCAAATAAAAATAAACATCTCATTTTAAATATAAATAAACTAAAATATAATTAGAATAATCATTAAGTCATAAGATAATACTTAATTATTGTTTTTATAAAAACTTGTATTATTAAACAAAAAATAAATTACTTCGTTATTAAGTTTATATTAAATTATAATAAAAAGAATAAATTATAAAAAATGATAATTTTTAAATAGTTAATTTGATACTAATATTTATATTTTTTTTTTCAAAAAATTTAATACATCTTCAAGTTATATTTATTAAATAAATAAAAACGTTATCGCCTTTTCAAAACCACAAAATCGTTTTATAAAATCGACAGAAACAAATAATAAAACAAAACACTAAAACCGAGATGTATCTCGCTATATTGTACAAATACCTTTCAAATTAATTAATAATAGAAATTATGTATCATGTTTTATATTATTTACAAATATGTATTGTTTAATAATACATAATCTTT